CTTGCCATGTATTTATCTATTTTGGTGACGATCCGACCTGCCATGGTTTCATCGAGTAGCGGGGACGAGGAAAACGCACCAGAAAGTCTCAAAAAGTCAAAATTATCAACACACAAACATTGTTACATGCATATTACGTCTGTGAAGCACGAAAAGGTTGATTATTTTACCAATACAAGATGGAATACGTACAGGACAAGCTTACAACGGTGGCATTGATTTTGAAGTTACAAATACAATATTATCATATTACAATAATAATAATAATAATATAATATATATATATATATTATATATATCTATAATAATAATATATAGATCTATAATAATAATCTATATATATCTATAATAATAATCTATATATATATAATAATAATATATATATCTATAATAATAATCTATAATAATAATAATGCAATTCATCAAATTATTATATGATGAATGAGTAAATAAATGAATCAAGGGTCATTGGTATAAGTACTGCATTTTATTGATCTAAATTACTTAACGTAACAAGTTAACCTTCTTGGACGCAGCTATGTATGAAATCAAGTCATGTTTATTGTAAGAGTGCATTTAACGTGTACAGGGTAACAATAACAACAGACAGACAGACAAAAAGTCCTCAGTCTAATGGAATAATCCACGAGCTCAGCCAATGAACCTAGCGATGCGAACATGGTAGTCCAGGAATGTTGTTGTAGCTGGAGTTGGCTGATAAACGCTGCTAGCCAATGTTGATTCGATGGTCAACTCTGTTCCCAGATAGTAAAACCTCTCACAAATACCGCGTATATAACGCAAATACCTCGGACTTAGTGATGTATTAAGACATATGACAAAACATGACATAAAACAAGCATACAGCACTGTTTAGAATCCATTTGGTCTGGTTTAGCGTAACCATAGGCGGCCATCTTTCACTTCTGTTGACAATATGCAGCTACCCAATTGGTGTAGCATGATCACGTGACAAACCGTGGCACTACTTTTGACCAAGATATTATTACGCTTTGAAGGGACTAGTTCAGCCAATAATTACGTGCCTAGAAGAATTGACAGGAATTTTAGCGACAAACTTTTCTTTGGTGGATAAGCATGACTCGTTCTTTTTTATGAACTAAAGATTATGTAGTTCCACTTCTGTGGAGCGGGATTTCTTTTCTAAAGGACTTTTCGAGGTTCACCTTGCGGCCTAAAACCACCAAATACAAAAACATAATTCAGATCCAGTCGTCATGACTCCACTCCGGAAGGATTCCCCGATCACTTCTTACAGTCTCTCATCAAGGGGGGGGTCTCCTGTCCCCGGTACAAACACACTGCCTGAGGAAGGCTATGTGTATTTATTTTGTCATTAACCTTTTTCGGACCACTTATTTATTTATTTTGGTGACGATCCGACCTCCATGCTGCTACTCTGGTTCAAACTGCATCCACCAAACAATATGATTTATCTCGACCTCCCCAAAATAACCAAAATCTGACACGGTGTGAGATGTCTTTTTTAGCTGTTCTGTCGTCATTTCCTGCGATCTTCTTCATGCAGTCAGTCAAAATGAATGAATGAATGACCGTTTCTTTGACTATGTATAGGCAAATATGGGCGTTACGTGAAGCCCGCAAAAGCTGCACCGCATTTCGAGTCGATTGGGATTTATAAAAGGGAAACCGGCGTAGGAAGTGCCGTACGCACTTTCCTCGCCGGTAGGCTACGCAATGTTTGGTGAATCGGAACATTTCTGTACCTATTTTTTGGATTTCTACTACGTAAGCAACCTTCCCAAGTGAATCCTACGCACAGCGTTATAAATGAGGCCCCAGATCTGTTGTATGAAGCGATGCCGGTAGCGGAGGTAAGGCACACGCACCAAGTGTTCAGGAAATGGTTAATACAGCGAAAATCAAAGCTGACGATCTCTTGGTTTGATATGTTTTCTCCCCCAGACAACATGGACATAAGAAAAAAAAATTCAAAGAAGAGGAAAGTAAGTCTTCAGCTGGCAGCAGTTAATCAGTTAACAGTGATGGCGGCGGCAAAAGCGTCTCACTTCTGGAGAGGAGTTTCGTCTTTATGTCATGATAGAGAGATACAAATACTGAATACTATTCAGTGAATAGTTTAGATGAGAAAAGGCATCATGTAAACAGGGAACATGAATAACCCGATCTCTCTGTGCTCATGTAAACACCATGATGTAGAGACGCAGTCAGTGTGTTTTACTGGAGCCTCAGTTCGAAAAGAGATTATTTTCTGAGTTCTTTAACTTAGGTACTCTCTCTGAAAATGGTAATGTGCATTATGTTTTAATTATACTTCTTATCATTCAGAAGCTTTTTGTGTGTGTTTATGTTTCACTGAGTGCTTATAGGCAATTTCCATCCCATTCCTAGGTGAACTTAACATCGGTATGGAGTCAGATCAGTCTCAATATTAATAAATGCTCACAGAAGGATTCACAAATGTATTTTGCGATTTATATATAAATGACTCTCCACAACAATATCTCTCAATGCACTCATAAATATGTATTGTTGTATATAAATGTACAAAAAATGGTCATTTAAACTGCTTTTTATTAATTCAAAGACGGCTCTGAATTAATAATCAAATATGTTTCCTTTCTTTATTACTGGATGAAATTACAAAATGTACCTATCATTTTCCTCATGCTAGTATAGCCACATAAAAGTATCAAACCACCTGTTAAAATGCAACAGAATACAGGAAATCTATTTTTTTTTCTTGGTGGGGGACCCACACACCCCCCGTTAAAAATGTCCCCGCCACATTCAGGATGCTTCCTACGCCCATGCCTTCATATGATCATTATAGTTATTAAAGAATAAGATAATAAATGAAAAACGGGTATGAAATACTATAGGACAGTAACACAAGAATACAGTTTAAAAGGGGAGTGATTAGTAAAATATCCATAAAGAAAAAGTAAATCTGTGTACAGTTCTGTTTCATATGGATGCTGAGAGATGTAGGCTATCCATTGATCTCTTCATTTTGCTTTCAAAGTGCACCAGATTGATGTATTTAACTTCAATATTTTAAAAAAAGTCTTCCCGGGGAGCATGCCCTCAGACCCTCCTAGAGGAGGTTAGGTCCACCCCCACCTAAAACATGTTCACATGGATAGGATACTAAATACATTTGCACATTTTTATATGGTGGCCTATGTCCATATGTTTCCGTTTTGGTGGTCGTGCCACAACTGTGCATGTATGCACAAGTCATAGGTGCGCTATACAATAACACTACACCCCTGCAATGTGTGTGAAAGACAATAGACTTTACAGCATGTTTTTTTTAATTTAAGTTGCGTTGGTGTTTGTGTGTTGGTTGTTGACGACAGTGTGTACCCCCCCTTGGTAAATGATTTCCGCCCCATTCAATTTGTTCTAGAGCCGACCCTGCAAGGAGGGGAGCACGTAACTGGTCCCTGTGCTGCTGCTTCACATTGGCCAGCCCACAATGCATTGCTAACAACAGTACAAAACCATATTACATAAATACAGTAGATTAGCGTTGAAAATTGGCTGTAAATTAACAGCAATTGCTTACAGCAGTGGTTCCCAAACGGTGTGCCGCGGCACACTGGTGTGCCGTGAGGCAAGTCCGGGTGTGCCGTGGGATTTTGTGACAACCATACGTTATTATTGCAATATACAACTACACAAAAATAATACTTTTTTTATTTACTATAATATCAGTACTTTGTAGGTTTATATGTACGTAATCTGCGCGACATGCGCGTCCACATCTCCAGTGCTGCATAAACATGGCTGAGTCAGCGATAACTTTCGAGGGGTTGAGGCAGAGCCAATAGAACAATAAGTGTGGCTTGATAGTGAGTAAGAAAAAGGTTTATAACGCGTGAGCATGGGGCTGCGGAGAGCATTTCTCCGCGATCCCAATGTAGTAGCCCGAAAAACGTTTACCCATTTAAACAGTCGTGGTAGATACCTTGTTTGTTTTAAACATCATAAATACACAAACAACAATGAATACTTACAGGTTGTGTATCTCCCGCTGGTCCAAACAAAGTAGGAACAGCATCGTTCTTCAGTGCCCTACGCTGTGCATATCCGGCATGAATCGCTGAAAGGTTTTGGGAAGCTTTGTTTCGTGAAAGGCTGGTAGAGGGTGCGGTCATAGCTCTAGGCGTGGCTACTGGGTATCCCTACATAGCGATACCCAGGAAGAAAATTACAAATCTCCAACTAGGCGTTTTGGGGAAGTATTTTGTGTGTTAGAGTTTTACTCGCTACAGGGTGTACTTTCAGGGTTTGTGACACTCTGCAGACCGTTTACATGCATACAAACCTTCATAACACACAAGGGGACGGGTAATAACCGGAAAAGCATGACATGGGACCTTTAAGAATGCATTGAGGATTATATCTGACAATATTTCCTCCGGTTAAAAAACCATGGCTCCTATCAAAGAAATGACCTGACCATGAGCATTAGGGAGCACCCTGATGAACTGATCTATGTTTTTTTGGGCGGTTTTGTGTGTAAAATGTGGAGATGGCAATTTGACCAAAGTTTACTTCTTTCTGGTCTGAATAAAGGTCTGGACAAATTCAACATGGGAGTCTATTGGGAGCTAGATGGACTTTGTCACTCAGATCACTTTTGGGCCAGAATTGTGGATCCGTTTGATGATGTCACACACTCTAGCTCTGAAGAGTCTGTCCAATAGACACCCATTATAAAATCTAAAACGGACTGAAAATGTACCAAAACTTAAACATTGATAAGTCAAAAACTGTAAAAGATGTCTAACATTAATATACCTTTTGTCATGTATTTATGTATATATATATATATTTGTATATATAATACCTTGTTAAATTCAACATGTATATGTTGTTAGTGGAATGCTGTGCAACAGCATTCCACTAATAAGTATGTTGAACACTATACTGTGTGTGGCTTCGCCAGTCATACAGAATAAGAAAGTATTTTATTGTTTGTTACACACCTGTTCTGTGCAGCTTTATCTGGGGCTTGTCTACAGACTCTTTGCACAAATCTGTCCGCTGTGCACACTTTCCTCATCAGTAAGAGTCACCATGAAGGCATCAGTCTCCTGCTTTAGTTCAAGCTGCTCTTCCTCCTGACTGGTGCAAAGTTCCTCCTGTTCCTCTTTAATCTGTGGAGGCTCTGGGTCCTCTTGGTCCAGACTGGAGTTCCTTTCCTGACTACAGAGCTGGTGGTCAGTGAGAACCTCCTCCTCATTACAGACATGTTGCTGAGGGAGCTCTGGAGGGACAGAAAATAAACAAAGTACTGATAGTGTGGTGTTAGGGAAGCAAATTGCATTCAATGCTGGGCAATGGTGTTAAGATCAATATCACAATATCAAGACAACAACAAACAAGACTACAGAAATGCATAAAGCATGAACAGAGTTTATTTAAAAAGCATGCAGCCACCCACTTTAAAAAATATATAAATTGTTTTAACAATGTGTATTTTAACCGCTGTGATGTGTGTTTGAGATCTGATCATGAATTAATAAACAGAATGTGGTCCTATCAACACAATAGGATGCAGTATGTAGCTATCAATTCAGCATGTAATGTCTTAACTGGTCAAGTAGTACTTATATTCTATTTGATTGTTTATTTACAGTTGATTTCTTGAATATATATAATAATTAAATATCTCATGCAGAAATTAGCAGAACATGGAAATACTTAATGGAAAAATAGGTCCCTCAATATTATATGGGAAAATATACTTAGTTGCTGCTAGCAAGAAGAATAATACATTTAAAGAGAACACCCTCACAAAATATAGCTAACGAGAGGCGTTAACCATAATGAATCCCATTCTGATTGCTTGATCATGTCTAAGTACTTGATAGGAAATAATAAAGTATTTCATGGTTTGTTACACACCTGTTCTGTGCAGCTTTATCTGAGGCTTCAAGACGGTATCCAATAATCTGCGCTGACGACAAATCTCCTCCTCGTATGCTGATAAAGTTTGAGCAAAAACTCCAAATATTTCATCGGCAGCTGCAGCTAGTCGCTCGTTGATAACACTTCTCAGTTTCTCAACTGCAGCCATTCCTACTGTGTGAAATATATGGATGTGTAAAGAGACAAAATAAGCCAAACCAACATTTATTTTTTTCGTTGGCATGAACTACACAACTTCCGGTGGAATGTACTTATTCGTTGGTTTAGGGAGTCGTTCTGCACTGATAAAGTTACATTACCACCACCTACTGGATTAACATTCAAAAATACATTGTCCAAATCTCCCCCAATAACTAATAAGGGAAACCATAACATCAACAACATGTTCCCCAACTCTTGTTCAGTGAGTTGCATGAATCACTTTTGTTTGACTTCTGGGTGAACCTTTTCTCACAAGTATAACATTTGAAGCGATTTTCACGGGCAGAGGTGGGAAGTTAGGCACATTAGAGTACATTTACTCAAATAGCCTGTACTTAAATAACATTTTGAAATACTTGTACTTTACTTGAGTATCTCCATGTTATGCTATTTTGTACTTCTACTCCACTACAATTCAGAGGTAAATCATCTACTTTTACTCCACTTATTTTGTACCTTAAATTACTTTGCAGATTTGGATAATATGATATAATCAACACTTAAATGAGACTTTAGTTAAACCTGGAGTAAATTCACAATCTATCCTGCAGTATACAAAGTTATAAAAAACTAGCTGCACCGTTACATGCCTTGATAACAATTACATTAATAATTATAATCAAAACATATAATATATATTATTCTGAAATGGACCAATCTGCATAATACATACTTTTGGTACTTTAAGTATGTTTAGATGCCAATACTTTTTTACTTTTACTTGAGTGAACTTTTGAATTCAGGACTTTACAGAGTATTCCTACACTCTGGTACTTCTACTTTGAATGAAGTAAAAATATTTGTACTTCTCCCACCTCTGTTAACCGGTGTGGGGCCGTGTGCAGATTTTTTACTTTAAGAAATGATGAAATTCCACATTTTGAAAAAATGTTCTCTGGTTTGTGATCAGTACTGGCATTCACGTGAATTGCTCTTGCATGGCTGGTGGACACTTTGGTTGGGATGAACCTGGGTCCTTTCTGTCAGATTCAGATTGTAATATTATAACTGAGATGTTGGTTAGTGTCAGTGGATCTATGCACATTTAACATGTGAATTTTACTGAGGCCCATGGTAACTTTAATGTTCTATTTAAACATTCAATACAATAAAGGAAATTAGCCGGCTCTATCAAAGTTTAATATGAGGCAACTCCGGTGACCAAACTAATCAACGTATTTAAATAATATAATAACTTAAGCTCAAGCCCATGTGGCCAGCATTTAAACACCTACTGTTTGTAACAACTTACTTCCACTTACTTATTATGTCCAGCAGACTGGATGGCCCTCATTTGCTTATATCTTTAGCGTTTAGGGTGAATCTGGTATTTTTACAGGATGACCAAACAAAGCTTTATAGTTAGATACATACATTAGATCACACAGAATTAAGTGCATCATTACTATTCCTTATTACTGCCTTAAGCACCATGTAGATTATTATTTCCAACTCCAGCAAGTGTCACCTCAAAACCAAAATAGCAACCAAAAAACAATTGAATGCCACTGCAAAATACAAAACACAATGACATATCGCAATCATAAAAGTTATATTTGCAAGTTAATGACAGTATTAAACATGTTAACATAGGTTGCATTGATCAGTCCCAGAGGTAGCTGCCTGGTGAACATTCATCCAGATGAAAAAAGTACTGCATTTATGTGCCTTATCATTTGTGTGGTTACATATGGAAATCTACTTGTTGTTGGTGTAAACCATGTAATACCTTTTCAATTCAAAGTTACATCTTCTAGTCAGTGAATCCTTCTCATGTGGATCAATAATTCATCTTTACGTCTGAAATTGTTCCCACATTCTTTACAAGTATACGGTTTCTCACCTGTGTGGAATCTCATATGAGTTTTTAATGTTGATAATCTAAATGAAGCCTTTCCCACAGGTCATGCAAACTAGCATTTATCTCCTGTGTGGATTCTCATGTGACTCTTAAAGTTACAGTTATATCTGAATTTTTTTTCACATGTTTTGCAAGTAAATTTCTTTTCATCGGTGTGGACTCGCATGTGTTGCATCAAGTTGCTACTTTCTCTGAAACCCCTTCCACATGTTTTGCAAGAATATGGCTTCACATCCGTGTGGGTGGTCATGTGTCTTTGCAATTTTGACATGTACTTAAAATCTTTCCCACAAATTTCACATTTGAAATTCTTCACTGTGCAAGTATTACGTTGCATGTCTGACAAGTTAGCGTTGTTTACATTGTTCCTTTTGGTTTTGCGATGTATTTTGTATATTCTTGGATCGTCAGTTCTTGTTAACCCTGAGTCATTAGAATTGTGAGAGATGAGCTGCAGATTACTTTGTGCTTCTGATACCACAACGCTTATAACTGGCATGTTGCCTACAGACTCTTTTGCACAAGTCTGTCCGCTGTGCACACTTTCCTCATCAGTAAGAGTCACCATGAAGACATCAGTCTCCTGCTTTAGTTCAAGCTGCTCTTCCTCCTGACGGGTGCAAAGTTCCTCCTGTTCCTCTTTAATCTGTGGAGGCTCTGGGTCCTCTTGGTCCAGACTGGAGTTCCTTTCCTGACTACAGAGCTGCTGGTCAGTGAGAACCGTGAGAACCTCATCCTCAATACAGACATGTTGCTGAGGGAGCTCTGGAGGGAAGGAGAGGACAGAAAGAAGAGAATACTACTGTAATGGTATAAAACAAGATATCTGAGCAGGGAAATACAACCTGTGTTTAAAGCATTATTATCCTAGAATCCCATATAACCATGTACACTTTTAAAATAACATTTTAGTTTTACACACCTCTCGTGAGTAATTGTATTTCATGTTGCCTAACGATATCCAACAGTTTGCGCTGTCGAGCTATCTCTTCCTCGAACTTCGCGATTGCTTTTTCAAAAACTCCGAATATTTCTCCAGCAGCAGCACTCAGACGCTCGTTTACAAACTCTCTCAAATACTCCACTGAAGACATGTTCAACTTAATAACATATGTTATGTATGTGCACTACGACTTATTGTCTTACAAAAACACGTTATTCTAGTTGAAGCTTCCAGACCTCGCATTGTTTACTTCCACTAAACGTCACACTGTTAAGCACTTCTTCTTCTCTCGGATTATTGGCGGGTCCCAAACTACTTCAAGGTGCATATTGCCACCTACTGTACAAGAGTGTGCTGTGCATCATCATGTCACCAAACCACCACCCGTGGAAGTATGATTAAACTATTTAAAATTCTCCTTATCAGCCCTGTTTCACCCGGAGAATGAAAACGTTTCTCGTAGCTCTTTCTCCCTCTCCTTATGTTCCCAGTATCCTCATCAGGCTCCACTACCGGCCTGACCCTTTCACTGAGCTTCTCTCCTTTTCATAATGTAAAATTACATTTTACATCTTTTCTTTGAGAAGGTGTGTTCCAACTTTTGACTGGTACTGTATATACATATATTTCTAAGTCAACCCTCAGCAGTGAAACACCAGGAATGGGAATTGAGCCACCCATTCTCCTAATGCTAACATGAGGGAATGTGTTGAAAATGCAATTTAAAGCTAACCTCAACACAGTGAGGTTATACCATAGACCAGGGGTGCCCAACCTTTTTTGAACCGAGAGCTACTTTTAAAGTTGCCAGTCTGCCGAGATCTACCAGTCCCAATAGAGAGGCGTAGCCATTACTGACAGCCTACTACCAGGTAAATACACACTTCTACTTGTATAAAACTGACCTTTGTACGATTAATACTCCATAAAATACTGCAGATCCTTTATCTTACCTCTTTCTAATCTACACACATACAAGTATTTAACTGAAGTTACACAACAGTGTTGTTGATACAGAGTTGGAGTTTATTCACACGTCACTACAGTGGGTAATGTTTTCAAGAAGCATTGAACAGTGCTGCCACATATGACACAGGAAAACAAGAAAAGACTCTGAACCCTTTCTTTGCCATTATATAAAAATAGTGTTATTACAAAAGTATACATTCGGCTTACTAATAAGACAACTCAGATCTGAAGCTACACAGGAATCTGCTGCCAAAGTGCAATAAAAAAGACTAAATTAATAGAATCAAACCATTTTTTTCTTGCATTTTAGTAGAATATAAAAATAAATGCCTTTAAAATAGGATGCAAGCAACACTAGTTTATTAACCTGAATTGATAATAGACTATAATCAATTTAAACAGAACAGATCTTAATGTTTGCATTCTTATACCATTTTGTACAATAATTATAATGAATAAGTTCAAACAAACTAAAACTTACAGCTGATTAATAACGGTATCTAACTTGAGTTTTTATTATATCAAAACCTGTTGAAATGCTACTGTTATTTTTACTGTCCCCCAAAAGCGCGTCGCAGCCTCCAGGAAAGCTTCTTTCACAACTTCGCAGTCTTTGAAAGACTTCATGTGTTTCGCAAGAACGTGACTGACACGATAAGATGCTATGGTAGCAGCCTTGCTCTTGTTGTTGGGCCTGGTGAAAATGGACTGCTGTGCATTTAGCTGTCCTTTCAGGCCCCTCCCCTTTTGGGAGCGTAGGGCAGAATTAGGAGGGAATTTCGTCACGTAATGTTTGTGCACTGTTTTGAAATGCCGTTCCTAAATTACCCTTCTTCGATAAAGCCACGCTCGCATTGCAGATGAGAGACAGATGGACTTTGAATTGGAATAGATACAAAAATAATCATCCTCCCACTCGGAGTGAAAATTATATATTTTGGGCTTTTTTGCTTCTGCCATAATTGCGGTCTTGCGTGTGTGCGGACTGTCACTCCTGTTGACACGGGCTGCTTCTCAGGTCGACTATTTTCATTTCCTCGCTCCTCGGTCTCACCGAAAGTTGATTTGCCTGCGCCATCTTGAGTACCGTCCCATGGCTCTTATTTCTGCCGGAGGACCGAGGATCGAGGAGCACGCACTGATCTGATGCTTCTTGACATGAGAGCAGAGTGAAGAAAATACATGAACCTCACGGGAGTCACTCCTCAGTTTATACCGTGTTTTGTTTCAATTCATGTATCATTTAGTTACAAATATGTGATATATCTGAACAACAAAGTGGTCAAAAATCATTTAATTCATTTTTTGGAAACATTTTCATGATCGCTTTTTTCGTTTTACATTTTCATTTATTGTCATTTCCATTCAGTCAGTCATTAAGTGCTATTAAAATGTTAATGTGCTACATATCCACACAAACAAACAAAGTGTGCAATCCAATGAATGTTAATCTAACTGGGTTTTGATAGATAACATATCTCTTTTTCTTCTCTCAATTATTTTATTTCTATTGTGCACTCTAATCAATATTAATCAAACTATTGTTCGTGTATACATTTTAAGAATGGCCTTTATCTTTTTTGAGAATTAGTTCTTATTTTTATTTTATTTATTGGGGTCTACAACAGATGATACAAATGTTTGTGTCAGTAAATGTGTACTAACAGAGGCGGGGGGGTGTGTGGAAATAACGGGGACAGAGCTGCTGCCAGACGATCAGCTGTGCAGCGTCATCACAAACTGACGTCGCTTCACGTGACGCTCCGGAGGAAAGGACGTCCCATTACTCTTAAAACTCATTTCCCTGCTTCTCGTGGTTTCCTTGCGTCCCTCCATGCTTCCCTGGTGGGAGGGACTAAACGCAGGGAAACGACGCAAGTGAGGGAAGCAAGGATTTCATTTAATCGACCTGAGAAGCAGCCACGGTCGGACAACAACGTCAGCGAAATAGTGCCCACTGCCCACCAGCCACGCCCCGACACATGGGGTCACGCTGGCCAATCACAAAGCTTTGATGCGTTCAAGTGCATTATTCTGGCACAGGAACATTATGTTACAGGACATTAACGATAACACAGAATGTTGTTGTTCTATTTTTAGACACATCTCGCGATCGACTGGGAATCTCCTCGACTGGTTAGGCACCCCTGCCATAGACTGTTATACACGTCTATATAAATTGTTACATTCCACCACTCAATATGAATCAATTCAAATGATCATCTACAACATAGTAATTAACTTAACTTCCACCTGGTGAGCTGCAACACCTCTTGAATGTTAACACAAATACTCTGAAATAAGATTAATTTGTTGTCAGTCACACACCCATCTGCCACTTTGATGAACAGAATGGGCTCATAACTTTAGATTTCTGAGTAAATTGCTCTTTAATCATTAGCATTCAAAGCTTCCATTGTTACAACACATACCAGCATACACATCTGAAAACGTACTACTTAGTTGCCTGCGCCCCTTCTAGCAGTGACCATATTCATCTCTGCTTCAGCTGATGTGTTTACAGCCCTATGTCATACCACAATATGTGGGTGTGTATCCCCTTTAAAACCCAAAACAAACAAAGATCAGGATTTATTTTTTTAAATACTTAAAAAATATAAATCAAATTGAAATGTTGCAGACAAACAGAGAAAATACTAGCTGGCAGAATGACAACACAGGTTTCTCAGTTTCAACATCAGAGTTAATAATAAAAAGGTATCCAATACAAAATAAAAAGAATAGTCAATTAACTGGTCAACGATTTTTCCTGTTCATGGATTTTCTTGTCTGGTTTTATGAGAAAAAAATGTCTCCACTTTAATGGGTTTCAATATGTTGCCCATGAAGCATAACAACTGAGTTCTCTCACGGTTTAAGAATATATGTGTATGCAATGTCTTATATGAGACACATGGAATACTCTTTCAAACAAGTGTTGCAATTATATGGTTTCTCACTAGTGAGGCTCTCCTCACATCAACTGTAAAGTCTCCTCAGAACTGCCCCAAGTTTCACAAGAAGACTGCTTCTCAGGTGTATGCATCCTCATGTGCCATTTCATGTCCATCTTCCGACGGTATCTTTTCCCACAGATATTGCAGACATGTGGCCGTTCATCTGTGTGGGTCTTCATGTGGTTTGTCACATCATTTTTAAGTCTGAAATGTTTCCCACATATTTCGCATGGATATGGCTTTTCACCTGTGTGGATTGACTCATGTTTCTTTAATGTTGCAATGTCTTTAAATGTTCTCCCACAGGTGTTGCACAAATATGGCCTTTCACCTGTGTGAACCCTGAAATGTCTATTCAACGTGGTTCTGTCCTTAAATTCTTTCCCACAAGCGTCACATGTGTAAAACGTTAAACCTGTGGGAGTATCCCGGCGAATCTTACATGTAATGTTGCTGTGACGTGTCTTTTTTTGTTCCGTCTCTGAATTTGTAGTTGATCCTGAATCTCCATGCTTGCCTGCTTTATGAAAGTTGTGAGAGACGAGCTGCTGGTTACTGCTTGGTTCTAGTACCACATCCTTTATTGCTGGTATGTTGCCTACACACTCTTTATTCGCTGCACTTAAAATCTCATATGAATTAAAGTTCTGATCTTCACTGTGCTCATTTCCCTCATCAGTAGGAGTCACCATAAAGGCCTCAGTCTCATGCTTCAGTACAAGCTGCTCTTCCTCCTGAACAGTGTGGAGTTCCTCCTGTTCCTCTTTGATCTGTGGAGGCTCTGGGTCCTCTTGGTCCAGACTGGAGTTTCTTTCCTGACTACAGAGCTGCTGGTCAGTGAGAACCTCCTCCTTCTGATAGATATACTGCTGTGGGAGCTCTGGAGGGACAAAAGAAAAAGGTAGTGTTGTGTCAGAAAAACTGACACCACCAGAGCAAATGTACACAAGTCTATATTCAAAATATACACTGAACAAAAATATAAATGCAACACTTTTGTTTTTGCTCCCATTTTTCATTAGATGAATTCAAAGATCTAAAACATTTTCTATATACACAAAATAACCATTTCTCTCAAATATTGTTCACAAATCTGAAAAAATCTGTGATAGTGAGCACTTCTCCTTTGCCGAGATAATCCATCCCACCTCACAGGTGTGGCATATCAAGATGCTGATTAGACAGCATGATTATTGCACAGGTGTGCCTTAGGCTGGCCACAATAAAAGGCCACTATGAAACGTGCAGTTTTGCTTTATTGGGGGGGGTCTGGGGGGGGTCCGAAAACCAGTCAGTATCTGGTGTGACCACCATTTGCCTCACGCAGTGCAACACATCTCCTTCGCATAGAGTTGATCAGGTTGTTGATTGTGGCCTGTGGAATGTTGGTCCACTCCTCTTCAATGGCTGTGCGAAGTTGCTGGATATTGGCAGGAACTGGAACACGCTGTCGTATACGCCGATCCAGAGCATCCCAAACATGCTCAATGGGTGACATGTCCGGTGAGTATGCTGGCCATGCAAGAACTGGGATGTTTTCAGCCTCCAGGAATTGTGTACAGATCCTTGCAACATAGGGCCGTGCATTATCATGCTGCAACATGAGGTGATGGTCGTGGATGAATAGCACAACAATGGGCCTCAGGATCTCGTCACGGTATCTCTGTGCATTCACAATGCCATCAATAAAATGCACCTGTGTTCGTCGTCCATAACATACGCCTGCCCATACCATAACCCCACCACCACCATGGGCCACTCGATTCACAACATTGACATCAGAAAACCGCTCACCCACACGACGCCACACACGCTGTCTGCCATCTGCCCTGAACAGTGAAAACCGGGATTCATCCATGAAGAGAACACCTCTCCAACGTGCCAGACGCCATCGAATGTGAGCATTTGCCCACTCAAGTCGGTTACGACGACGAACCGGAGTCAGGTCGAGACCCCGATGAGGACGACGAGCATGCAGATGAGCTTCCCTGAGACGGTTTCTGACAGTTTGTGCAGAAATTCTTTGGTTATGCAAACCGATTGTTGCAGCAGCTGTCCGAGTGGCTGGTCTCAGACGATCTTGGAGGTGAACATGCTGGATGTGGAGGTCCTGTGGTCTGCGGTTGTGAGGCCGGTTGGATGTACTGCCAAATTCTCTGAAACGCCTTTGGAGACGGCTTATGGTAGAGAAATGAACAATCAATTCACGGGCAACAGCTCTGGTGGACATTCCTGCTGTCAGAATGCCAATTGCACGCTCCCTCAAAACTTGCGACATCTGTGGCATTTTGCTGTGTGATAAAACTGAACATTTTAGAGTGGCCTTTTATTGTGGCCAGCCTAAGGCACACCTGTGCAATAATCATGCTGTCTAATCAGCATCTTGATATGCCACACCTGTGAGGTGGGATGGATTATCTTGGCAAAGGAGAAGTGCTCACTATCACAGATTTTTTCAGATTTGTGAACAATATTTGAGAGAAATGGTTATTTTGTGTATATTAGGGGTGTAACGGTATTCGTATTAGTCCCGTACCGTCACGGTTCGGCACATGCAGTCACACAGCGAATACGCCTTTTTTTTTACGAGTGGGAAAAAAGTCATTCAGGGCAGTATCCACTACACTATTTATAATCCAGGGGGGGGTATTGCGCCTAAAAGCTGTGTGTCAGCCGCCCTTAAACAACAAATGAAGAACAAGAAGAAACACAACAACAAAACTAACAAAACCAACAAAATACAAGAAGAAGAAAAGTTAGTATGGCGATTTCAGATAACACACAGTAGCTAGAACCCACCTGCTTCTTTTAAATCAGCTGTGTGGGAACATTTCGGGTTCCCTGTGGACTACAATAACGATGGAGTGCGAGTGGTGGATCGGACGAGGATGCTGTGTCGGCTAGGGCTGTGCAATTAATCGTATTTTAATCGCGATTACGATTATGGCTTGCGACGATAAGGAAAACAGCATAATTGACAAAATACGATTATTTTGCTGGGTGCGCTTTCGCCCCTCCCTAAAAGCCCACTCGGCCACGTGGGAGTGTTGTGAGTGTTCAGCGCAAGCGAAGATGTCAGAACAAGAGCAGCAACTAGTTAAAAATAAGGGTCGCGGGGAGATTCCCAGTCGATCGCGAGATGTGTCTAAAAATAGAACAACAATATTCTGTTTTATCGTTAATGTCCTGTAACATAATGTTCCCGTGCCAGAATAATGCACTTGAACGCATCAAAGCTTTGTGATTGGCCGGCCTCACCCCATGTGTCCGGGCGTGGCTGGTGAGCAGTGCACTAGTTCGCTGACGTTGTCCGTGTCAACAGCATGGATGGTCAACAGGAGTGACAGTCCGCACACACACAAGACCGCAATTATGGCAGAAGCAAAAAAGCCCAAAATATATAATTTTCACTCCAAGTGGGAGGATCATTATTTTTGTATCTATTCCAATTTAAAGTCCATCTGTCTCATCTGGCTTTATCGAAGAAGGGTAATTTAGGAGCGGCATTTCAAAACTGCACAAACGCTAAGAGACGAAATTCCCTCCTAATTCTGCCCTACGCTCCAAAAGGGGAGGGGCCTGAGAGCACAGCTAAATGCACAGCAGTCCATTTTCACCAGGCCCAACAACAAGAGCAAGGCTGCTACCAGAGCATCTTATCGTGTCAGTCACGTTCTTGCGAAACACATGAAGTCTTTCGAAGACGGCGAAGTTATGAAAGAAGCTTTCCTGGAGGCTGCGACGCGCTTTTGTGGGACAGTAAAAATAACAGCAGCATTTCAACAGGTTTTTGATATAATAAAAACTCAATTTAGATACCGTTATTAATCTGCTGTAAGTTTTGGTTTGTTTGAATTTATTCATGATAATTATTGTACAAAATGGTATAAGAATGCAAACATTAAGATCTGTTCTGTTTAAATTGATTATAGTCTATCAGTTCAGAAACTAGTGTTGCTTGCATCCTATTTTAAAGGCATTTCTTTTTATACTCTAATAAAATGCAACAAAAAATGGGTTTGATTCTATTAATGTTGTCTTTTTTATTGCACTGTTGCTGCAGCAGATTACTGTGTAGCTTCAGATCTGAGTTGTCTTATTAGTAAGCCTAATTTATACTTTTGTAGCAACACTATTTTTATATAATGGCAAAGAAAGGGTTCTTCAGAGTCTTTTCTTTTTTTCCTGTGTCATATGTGGCAGCACTGCCACAAGTTCCTCTTCAGAGAGGGTCTTCAGTACAGGTGGCAATATTGTCACCTGCCTGCGCTCATCTCTGAAACCAGACCATGTAAACAGCCTGGTATTTCTTGCAAAAAATCTTTAAGAGATGACATGAGCAGCCCTACCAGCATTTGCCATGGTGGCCTAAACATTTTTATTTGGTCTTAAATTGTAGTTCAACATTTATTTCCTGTTACTTCTGGACCATGACGGTTGGCCAGCCTTCAACGTTTAACTGAGTGGAATATGTTGAATATGTTTTACCAAAATGTTGGCTATATGTTAAGGAGTTTTCAGTAGGTTGTGACAGTGCACTGCAACATGTTTGATTTAATTTATTTTGGTCTAATTCATTTTTATTTATCATATTAATATATGTTTAGTATGGTTTTGGAAGTGCGCTCCAACACATTTATTGATCTTGTTTATTGGTAAAATATTATTTGTTTTAAAGTTCAATAAATGGTCAATGAATAATCGTCAAAATAATCGTGATATCAATTATTGACCAAATAATCGTGATTATGATTTTTGCCATAATCGCACAGCCCTAGTGTCGGCGTTGTTCGATAGCGGTGCGGTATGCTAATGGTAACACATGCCAAACATGCTAAATCATATCAGAAGGCATCACCCAGATTTGCCAATCACCGGAGCCCGGCAAAAGACAACAGCAGTTCAACAGCTTATCCCCGCTGTTTTTAAGAAGCCAAGAGACATGAGAGCCGAGAGACCAAAATAAATAACGGAAGCTTTTGGCATATGTTTTTCAACGACTATGCGCTCTTGAAACACTTTCTTATTATTTATGATATAATATTTTCAAGACATTCTTTTTAGTTTTACAGCTTGATGAAACCTTTTTGTTTGACATCAGCCATTATAGATAATATGGCCATCTGAGTGTGTGTGGTACTGTTTGTGGTTTGTTTTTAACTGTTTAATACAGTTAATTACTCAAAATGTCAGAGTTCCTTATTTTTAAACTGAATTGCACTACTGTTCAAAAATAAATAACAAACCTGGAATTATGCATTTGGGACTTTTTTTTTATTTTTCTTGTTGTACCGAACCCGTACCGAACCGTGACCCCCAAACCGAGGTACGAACCGAACCGTGACTTCTGTGAACCGTTACACCCCTAGTGTATATAGAAAATGTTTTAGATCTTTGAGTTAATCTCATGAAAAATGGGAGCAAAAACAAAAGTGTTGCATTTATATTTTTGTTCAGTGTAGGATATTGCATGAGTTTCCATCATTTTTCTGACAGGCTGTTTCCAAAACGAATGACACACGTCAACAACCTTATAGGGTGCTCACAGGCTAATGGTATATAGTATAGCTGCTAAAAAACATATTATACATTTAGTACAGATTGATAATTCACGGGGTTCTCACCTATACTGCGTAAATGTATTTCAGGTCTCAAAACTATATCCAATAGTTTGCGTTGACGAGCGATCTCTTCCTCATACTCCACGATCGTTGTTTTAAAAACTCCAAATATTTCTTCAGCAGCAGCAGTCAGTCGCTCGCTCACAAATACTCTCAAATACTCCACTGAAGACATTGTTGCTTAAATGTCGATTTAATATGCACATAACCTTTGAGTACAGTATTGTCTTTGAATTTAAAAATCCTGCATGCAAACAATTATGCTTAGCTGACAGCGCTGGTAATGTTTACTTTAAAACATCCATCGTTTACTTCCGCTATTCTTTGTTATAGCAGGCTCATTGCCGCCACCTTCTGTGTTGGAGTGTGGAACAGAGTTATTGATTAACTTATCCAAACAGAACAAAAAATAGACAGAGAAGACCAAAAAACACAGCTCAGCTAACTATGACATTTAAACACCAATGGAACTCTGAATATTCACTTTACTAATACCCACAAATGTATTTTTCATTGGAATCAACATCGGAAGAGTTTAACAACCGCACCACATGGCCCATCCTGTCTACTTCCGGGGGGAAACATATCGGCACGGCAAAGCTTCCTGAAGCAAAGTATTTGTTAAAATATAAGATTGCGTGTGTCCTTTCGTTGCAGATATACTAGGAATTAAGTAAACATGCATCGAAATATTTGTTTTTAGCTCGGGGTCTGTTTACATTCAGCTTTAGTTCATTTACGGGGTTTTAAACACTGTCTAAATGGGTGCATATTACTGTGCTATATGTAGACAGACAACATTCACCGGGAAGAAACATATCTTCGGGAAAAATCACCAAAGCACACTAAGAGTGGTTCTTTTAAAATTCTTAGAAAAGGTTAGTAGGTTGTTTTCAAATAATTATGACTGATATATACGTATGTTGTGCTCATATTACTCCCACCTCAACGAAATTGACCGTACTAACCATGATGCAAACAGTAGCTGCAACCGTTGTCGCAAAGTAAATCATAATTGTTGTCACATTTTGAGTGACACATTTTCAACAAAAAAATTGTGTTTTAAACCTTGTGCTACAAACCAAGACATAATGTTTAAGGGTAACTTTAGCTTGCTTTACTTACTGTCTCATAGGTAAAGGAGGCTCGCCGGACACTTAAAAAACCCCAGGTAGAAAAGTTTGACTGCACCCAGCACAAGAAGACTTTCTGGTGCTACTGCTGTGGGCTTGAAATTGATAGAAATGTCACAGACGACAACATGACTGTGCTGTACGGAGGCTTGTTGGAACACATGGCCACGTAAGTTTTTTTGAAATTACATTTGTTAAGCCGATTTTGATTTGATGCCATGCTCCATCAAATTCCACCACAGGATGGTTGACACATACACCAGAGGGGTTGATAAAGTATGGCCAGTTAACAATCTTTTTATTTAAAAGCATTATTATTATGGTTTTCTTTTGTTAAGCCAATTAAAATGTACATTAAGTCAAAGTAGTGGGTAAGCACAATCAACACTTACTCATTTATATTTGCTGACATACTTTTACAAAGGCTTGAGACATAATAAATTGTTTTTATATCATCAGCATCATCAATCCGTCTTATTTATAAAATGTTTTTAAAACATCCCTTTTTACCTAATCCAGGAGATCGTTTCAGGAAATTCTTACACTTTTTAAAAATGTATCTGGTTTTAGCCCCGAGCACAGGAGGAATACTCACAAGTTCTGGTGGGAGAATAAGGCCGACCCCAAGTTAAGAGACAAAGTCATCGTCACAGAAGAGGAAACCGAAAGGTAGGTCTGGCTGATACAAAAATGTATATTCATACAGTGTGTTTAGACAATTGAAGATCATTGTTTATTTTTGTTTAGGTTTAAAGTTGAGGTGGCAAAAGCGTTGGAATCATTTGTGGAGCAGGAGGATGAATTCATTAAACAGGTGATGCAAACATACTTTTTTTGACAATAACCTCTATTACTCAACAAAGCTGTAAGTCTACAGCCATACCAGTGGCTCTATGAATCTGTACTTCGACATAGTATGGCTTAGAGCTTTATAAAAACATCAGCTCGCTTGCAAAAACAATGCTGATATAAAGAAGGTCACCATCTAATTTAGCCTGCCATACAAGCATGCAAATATTTGCTACTTGGCACTAAAGTATTGGATAATTTGATATTTTGACCTGATGATCGTGATCAATTCAGGAGATCTCCATCGCTACATCCAGTGAGTCGTATTTCACAGGATCAGTGAGAACTTAAACCTAATTCTGAATAGTCCGAGGATTACGATCAGCAGATTATGAATGTCTGTACCATAATATATTGCAATCCCTCCAGTAGTTGTTGAGATTTTTCAGTCTTTACTTGATGAATAGGTTAACCGTGCTTGAAATTCGCTGATATAATTAGTTTTTTAATTTTCTTGTTCTCTTTTTCATCATGGTTGCAGCAAGCTGATTATATCCGTACACAGGAGAAGAATCGCCAAGAGGTCCTTCAGTCTCTTTTAGAGGTTTGTTTTCCAAGGATGCATTGGCAGTATCCATCACCGTGGCAGGTTTATTATTTATTTTTAAAAAATAACAGTTTTCCAGCCAAATGATTGTAACTGCCATAGTAGCTGATTAATGATCCTCTGCAGATCCTGGTATAGTATTAATATTGTTGTTGTTGAAATATTGCATGTGGTGAGTGTCCCCCCCCCCCCCCCCCCCCCCAAGAGAGAAAAAAATATCTGAATAAAGAGCGGTTTATGTTAGAATTTTGGGAAACGTAGTGTGAAGCATATTTAGTGCTCAGACTTCCTCTATGAACCACTGTTGGCTTTTCCTGAATCAATATCAGCGTGAGGCAGAGTCGGAGCTGTTCAATGGAGCCAATGGAACAGACTTGTCTGCTGAGGAAACTGTCAGGTAACACTATCTACCGATGACATTTCAAACTTTTTTGCATTGTATTATCAGTAGCAATTGAAATGACTTTTATAGTATTGTCATACTGATATTCTGTACACACTGTGAAGACCACTAAGACAAATGTAACATTTGTGATATTGGGCTATATAAATAAACATTGATTGATTGAATTTTGATGTTTTGGGATTCGTCTTGTTGTCTTGGGAACAGCTCTCAGTTTACACCTCAGGGATCAGACCAGCAGGCGGGGAGCAGCTTTGTTCAGTCAATGGTCAAGGCACCGCGAGCGGCAACAGGACAAGGTCTGACCTTCATAGGCTATCAGGTAGCTGCACAGCTCTCATTGAAAAAGCGTTTTATGTCTATGATTGGATTGTTTTTAATGTTGTTTTTCTTCTCACATCGACTCACTTGCTCTCTTATTGTCTCTTGTTACAGGATACTTCAAACAGAGGAAATGTTCATACAGGTACAGTAATATATGAATTGATGAAATAATAAAGTATCTGCAGAAATGCCCAGAGCACATTGGAAACATACATAGAGGCGGGTGGGGGGGGGGGGGAATTATTACTATTAGGTATGCGTATGTTTTGAGAATCCCGGTATTTTCCGATCCTGATGCATCCTACCTTTAATCGATGAAGTGAAATGTGCGCCTCATTTATTACTTTTACTGTATAATGTGTGTGATCTGAAGATTTCAGTTTAATATCATATCGAAGACGGAAAATATCTACTTTTCATTTGCAAACTCCGTTTTTGGAAAAATAATTCCAGCTCCAGAATTATTGCTCTTCACAAAGCATTACATAAAACGAGTTTCTTTTTTAAAATTAATGGCGGAACATTTGTATTCTTTGATTTTGTTGTTTTCCATGATTGTCAAAGGTACAAAGCTGCATAAACCCTGCATCTTTAGCATCTATGATCTAAGTTCATGGATTGATGAAGAATAAGCATACAGCTTTTGTGTGCCATAGGTGCCGTGCCTCCTTGGCTCCAGGAAGATCCTCTGGAGGGGACCTCTGGTGCCGCAGCACATCCAGAGATCGGGCCTTCGCTCCAAGGGTTCCTCAAACAGAGTAAGAATCCCTCACAGTTCTTTTTAAGTTGCGTGAGCTGAGCATTTCATTTTGCCGAAGACATTTTCCAGCCTTAATGATGATTTCCATGGCTGCTGTCACAACACTTAACCAGGTAGCTGTGATTTATTATAATCGGCCTTAATAATTCAAATGTTAAATCCACGAACACTTAACCTCTTAAACCCGGCCCCCCCCGATACCGGGCGGAAAAACACGTCACTGCAGGAGACAGCGTCTGGCGGCTTCTTAATATTTAAAAACCTATGAATGTATTATACTCAAATAACGGGGAAAAACTCAGCAACCTAATGATATGAGCCATTTTTACCGAAACAAAACACAAGTCTCACAAGAAGCGTTAGCATTAGCCCTTAGTGAAAACAGGCTGATGCTACTTCCGGTGCTAACTAGCAAAAACGATCTTTAAAACTTAATATTTTCTGCACAAACTACATATCAGCTGAAAGCTGATACTCCACAGATTATTTTTTATATAAGTATCATCACTGTAGGACACAAACTCACTGAGCGAGCAGCCAGAACAGAGCAAGAAAACAACAACAGTGTTCTAAAGCATAACAATAATTATGTCTTGCCGTTGCTGTTTTGTGATCAAAAGTCGTGTTCAAGGGAATAAAAACGCTGCTCAAGGTTAATCCAATGTCTCTTAGTCACTTTAGAATTGTTCCTGATAATCCATCATTACATTCATGGCCGCATCGTAGGTATAACGTTTTGCAGTCCGGGGTTTGGCTTTCTCACGTGCTGTTTACGCGAGCCTCTCTCTCCTTGAAGTAAGTGTTTAGCGGCGTTTACTAACTCCCCCTCGATTCTATTGGCTCCAAAGTTTCAAAAAAGGTGTCAATCACCCAAATCGACCAATGGGTTCCAGAGATAGGATCCTGCGTAGTATGAATAATGCCAGCAGCGGCTGCTTTACGCACAGACGGAGCAGAAGCAGCCGCACAACCGCTCCAGCACAGCAGCAACGAACACAACACAGCGAAGCGACAACACAGCGAACAGAGAACACAGAGACAACAGCAGGCAACCCTGATTATGAACTTCAGGAAAGGTATGTACTCTCTCTGTTTGTATCTATTAGTTGTGTATTTGGTGTAATCTATAGTAATTCCACACTCGCAAAATACAAAATGGACGCCGCTTTGTTGTTGTAGCGTTATCGTTCCGTGAGAAACTAAAACAATGGCAACATCATGTTGGTGAACGTATAAATAGATTCATTTTATTTCGTGACTATAACACGGCAGTATATAAATAAAGCTGTATTGTATATCAACCCAGTATATATATATATATAATACATAATATATATACTGTTATTCCACACACGCCAAATGGATGCTGTTTTGTAGTTCTACAGACATTGACTAACAGCAGTTTATAAATAAAGCTGTATTGTATATCAGTCTATATATATACTATAGCGTGTGTAAAATAACAGCATACATATATATATATATATATATATATATATATATATATATATATACTATAGCGTGTGTGAAATAACAGTATACACATATATATATATATATATATATATATATATGTAGGCTATACGGTTATTTCACACACGCTATAGTATATATATATGAAATAACAGTATACACACATATATATGTATACTGTTATTTCACACACGCTAAATGGAGGAATTATTTCTGATTTGAGTTACATTTTTTAAAGAATAAGCCAGTGAAGTAATCAAAGTAATTGTTTTTTCCACATTTGTTTTCACAGTAATGAAGACTAGTATCAAATGGCTTCTGGATCACAGCCATCAACATCTGCCTCATCCGAGCTACGACGTGCATCAGATCAGCATACAGTTGCCCCAGAGCCATCAACATCCAAGCTACGCCGCCGGACGTCTGCACCAGTACTAACTCAGCCTCCCTCTGCATCTTCTGATTCAGTGGACAGACTGTCAGGAGGAAAGTGAAACGGGCTGGTGTGTGGAAGACTAAGGTTGTTACCGTTCCTGACGCTGTGGTGGACTACAACAGAAGCATGGGCTGCGTGGATGTGTCCGATGCTTTGATTGGGTACTACAGTGTTCACCACAAAACCATGAAATGGTACAAGATCTTTTTTTTTACCATTTTCTGGACATTGCAGTGGTGAACAGCTTCCTTCTACACAAGGAGCTGCACAAGATGAGGGGTGACCCCGGCAGGACGAAGCCACACACCCAGAAGTCCTTCAGAGAGCAGCTTGCTGCATCATCACTCGTATGCATTCCCAAGTATTATGGGGAAGATGCCACCGCGCTCAGGAGGTGCTCTGATGCTGACAACACAACGGTGAAGACCTATCTACTGCACTAAGTGCCTGGTGCCTCAATTCAAAAACACTAAACACATTCAGGTTGTGTACATTTTTTCTTTTTTGCCAGTATTTACAAAAAAAATGCTTGTGGTGTTATTTTGGTTTTAGTGTCGTTTTTTTGTGTTATTTTTGAAATAAATCTGCTCAAGACAAGAGACAAGTGTTTCCTAATTGTTATTGTGTAAGTAAACCTTCCTAGAATTGTTAGTCGGGTGATAAACATGTAAGGGCTGTGGCAAAGTCCACACACAGACACACACACACCATTTACATACAAAAAAAATGTAATTTAAAAATAATTTTTTTTTTTTTTAAAACACTTGTATTTGGATGGAATGATTACCTGTAGTGATAATAAAATGATTTCTACAGTATGGTACCTGAAAAAGGTCAAATGGCACTGATGGTATCCAAATGTGCCCAAATGTGCCCAAAGGTCAGTCCGCCTGGACTACTTTTAGCTAAACCTCTCTAAAAAGGTCAAATTTAACTTGTTTTGCCTCAATCTTGATACAGGGTACTTATTATATGTTATACTTTGGATTCCTAAAGCTTTTAGTCTACTATCCCATCATTCAAGGGTAGTTTTCACTATAAGTAATGTTTTTTTTTTAGGCGGGGGTAAGAATTTACCTTTTTTTACTATGTTCCATCTGAATTTACTCTGACTGAGAAATATCTATATTGATTCTGACACTTCTACATCCAACTCACAGATGTAACCTTGCTTTGAAAAAATAAATTATTCATATAACCCTTTTAGAAGTTAAGTTATAGTCATTTGTTTTGGGCATAGCATTTTCGAGCCTGAAACCTTAAAAACAGGCTCAGGGCTTAAGAGGTTAAGGAACTCAAATCTCTCAATTATTGGAGTATACATAAAATGTCCTCATTTTTTTTCTTTTACCAGAGGAGCAAGAGAAGCTGAAGAAGCTTCCCCCGAACAGAGTGGGAGCCAACTTTGATCACAGCTCACAGACAGACGCCAACTGGCTTCCCTCCTTTGGTAGAGTGTGGAACAGTGGCCGGCGCTGGCAGTCCAGGTGAGATCACTCTTCATCACACCTAGATCATTATATAAGACTCTTCTCTCAATGTCCCATATATTATATAAACACACAGCCCTTAAATTAAGGTTTGATATATCGTGTTTGAGCCTCTGGACTTAAAAATACCTTCGCCCTACCTTCATACCCAGCTCAGTCCACACTTGATTAGATAGATGGATAGATAGATAGACAGACGGGCAGACAGACGGGCGGGCAGACAGATAGACGGACAGACCGATAGACGGACAGATCGATAGACGGACAGATCGATAGACGGACAGATCGATAGATGCATAGACAGACAGACAGACAGATGTATTCTGTCTGTCTGTTTTTGTTGTAGCAGCAAAGTTTACAGGCATTAAAATCTTTAAATGTGGAACAAAGTACAAACTAAATAAATTGAACTAAAATGTAAATTAAAACAATAAACAGCAGCAAGTCTATGTACATATCTACAGTATAAAGGACAATCAAAAGATCCATTTTTAAAAAAAATAATCCAACATCATCCAATCAAGTTGTTTGAGAAAACTACTGCCTGAAAGCGAATGGAGACAATCCTATCCTCATTCTACTGTCTGGAGGCAACGTTTATATATGTTACGAATAATTATGGCAGCAGCACAATTTCTATCATCCCAATAGTATTTAAGCAGCTGCCAAAATGTACATACCTAACACTTTTATTTGTTATTAAATATAGTATTTCATCAGAATACTTGCATACACATAGTTATATTGTTACTAGAATCCTAATAATAATCTGTTAGAAAAATGTTAAAAAAAACACATAATGTGTGATCTTCATCCCAGTTTATTAACTCCACTGGTCTCTGTGTGTGAATATGACTTTTGTTTTTTGAACAGGCACCAATTCAGACAAGAGGAAGGGCAGAAGAGGAAGAAGAAGAGGGAGCCCGGCACTGAAGGGTCAAAGAGAGCAAAACCCACTGAACAGACAACACAATCTGACAACCCTTAAAACAAGCTACGGTGTGTCATTAATGAGTCAAAGATGTATATAGTTTGCGAGATGTGATATAATGGGTACTTGGGTAAAAATGCTCAGCCTACTAGACGCCCCTAAATTATTAACCCAACAAAAAGCAGTGTTTGTATCAGGGGGCATTGTATATATACTTAGACTAAATTGGAAAAACATTTTTGAATAGTTACCTTTAACAATTGTTTTTATTCTGCCTGTTACTGGTGAGACTACAGCTCTTTAATAGGTCAAAATGACCGTTCTGGCAAGCAAACAGCAGGGGGCGCCAACCACTCAGCTAACCCAAACACCTGTGTTTAATAGAAGTATTGACATTAAGGCAAGCTGTTGAAACTGACATTAAAACAACAGCAAACAACTGTATTATCCATTTTTTATATTACATTTTTCCTTGTCTGGCAAAAGACACCTCCATTTAATGTTGTTGTTGTTGTTGTTTTTGCAGCTGAGTGTTTTATTTCTGCCTCAAATGTTGACCTTTTTAATGTTATTTAGTAAACAACCCAATATGGACATGTACAAAATGATGGCGGCAGTTAACAGTTTTTTAGACCTCCAACAATAAACACGTCTCTTTATTGCAGTGAACCTGAACAACCAAATGTTGAGCTTTCATTTCCCTTTTCAGACCATGTTTTGTGATGCATTACTGCAAAAGGCTTAAGGGCAGCACAACTTCATTTGGGACATTGAAAGGGTATATTTGCAACCATATAGGAAAGGGGTCCTTTTAAAGTCTTAAAATCCAACTTTTGTCTGCATAGTTGCTTAACACACACTATTCTCACCAATATATCTCAAGGTTTGTTTATGCAGAATTTTGTGGTGATAAATATGAAAATCATTTGATAACTGTTTTTGTTTTAAACTTAGGGCCTACACTGATTTGGTTCTAACCTCCTGCAATACATAATGCAGCATCTAGATTAAAAAATAACTTAAACTAAGAGGGCATTTTGAAGGACTATTCCAATGCTCTGTAGTTGCATTGCTACAGGGAAATGCCAGCACAAAGATGGATGAATGGCCAAAAGCAGTACATTCCATTTCCTAAGCTCACAGCCGGCCTTCCTTTTATCTGTATCTGTGCCTTCTCCTCCTCTCCATAGCAAGGTATAATCAGGCCCCAGTGTGCACTGGGTACATGGGCGTGGATTTCAGTGCAGCTGCAAGGCAATATGGGAATAAGACTGCACCTGATCTATTCTTAGCTTTATGACAACATGGCTATGGCAGATTCACTATGAATAGAATAGAATAGGGTTGCAATAAATGTGTACACTTTACTAACAATCCAAACGTTACACCTTATTGAAACGTTCAACTGTAAAGTATTTAACTATATACTAAATTCCCTCAAGTTTATACTTTCATATCAAGGTTTGTTTTCTGTTAGTTTTCTGATTAATATAAGAGGACGGCCATAGTTCCTGCATATCAGCGTAAGCATTAAAGAATGGGAGGAGAGAAAAAGCACGTGTACTGGGCGTATCTCAAAGGAATCCGCAGTCCAATCACAGAGCGGGATTTGTGAATAAATCTGCATGTTTGAAAAAAAGGCGGAATACCTGATTTCCGATTGGTTCAGAGGAATAAATGCGGCCAATAGCTTAAATGACAGGCGCTCAGCTGGCCATGAAGCCCCGCCTCCTATATATCAACTAGCAAACCCCGGAAACACTGTCGCTTAAAGGTACAGAAGAGGAATTTCAGGCAAAGGTTGTAACAACGAAAACAGCTGCGAGCACAAAAAAGCCAGGCACAGAGAGGAAGGGACGTAGTCAGCCAACAAGCGAGCTATGTGGCAAGACAGAGTGGGAGGACGAGACTGATTCTGTCCGATTATTATACCCTTCAGACATCCAGCTAAGGTTGCTAACGGCTTTTATCCTCGAATCTCGTTCTGTAACGTTAGCTACCTGATATGCGACAACGCAGCAGTGAGACAGAGAGATAACAAAAAGGCCAAACTCCCATGCGACAGCGACGCGTCAGTTAAAGCTGCCAGGCTGTGTTTTCCTCCTGAGTCCACCTTTGTTTTTCTTAGGTGAGTATTCTTCAAAATCTTGAAATGTTGCTATCTAGCTATGTCTTATTGTTCTACATGGTAGGCTTGTAGTTATTTGGTAATCCCTGGATGCTTTATGCAAATGTTGGCACCCTTTAACATTCAGGCCCTCGTAGTCATCATTTGTATTTGAATTAATCTGGGTAAACAATGATTGGAATCCAGCCTAAACCAGCTGATGACCTGACAGTAGCTTGCAGGGTGTAGGGGGCGTTCCCCTGCTTTGTCTGCTTCTCTCACTCTTTCTTTATGTGTGCAGTGGTTAAATACAAAGTTATCATAGGTGTGTGTGTGTGTGTGTGTGTGTGTGTGTGTGTGTGTGTGTGTGTGTGTGTGTGTGTGTGTGTGTGTGTGTGTGTGTGTGTGTGTGTGTGTGTGTGTGTGTGTGTGTGTGTGTGTGTGTGTGGGTGTGTGTGTGTGTGTGTGTGTGTGTGTGTGTGGTGTGTGTGTGTGTGTGTGTGTGTGTGTGTGTGTGTGTGTGTGTGTGTGTGTGTGTGTGTGTGTGTGTGTGTGTGGTGTGTGTGTGTGTGTGTGTGTGTGTGTGTGTGTGTGTGTGTGTGTGTGTGTGTGTGTGTGTGTGTGTGTGTGGTGTGTGTGTGTGTGTGTGTGTGTGTGTGTGTGTGTGTGTGTGTGTGTGTGTGTGTGTGTGTGTGTGTGTGTGTGTGTGTGTAGAGATCAACTAGCTATCTTTATATGTATCTGAGATTATGATTTAACTGAGGTTGCAGTGGGCGTTTTGTTCCCTTGCATTTTATCATGCATTGAGGTTGTCACCAAAACCTTGTTACAGTAAATGTAAAGTCTTGGAAAGACTCAGTTATTACAGTGTTATTATGCTAAGCTGCAATGCACTGCTACCTTTTGTCCTGACAAGGATGGAGTGGCATTAACATACACATTAGCAGTCACACTCACTCTAGATCGCCCATGCAGCACACGTGCATATAGGGAACCATAAGCTATCTCACATGTATGTAAAAAAAGATTTCTGCACAAAGATTTCTGCAACAAATCCACCTGCAATAAGACAACCTTTCTCTCTCTCTTATGCTTGTCCTTGCGTTGCTCTCACAGCCCCCCCCCCCCCCCCCCCACCGCTCTGTCTGGGAAAAACCAGTGGGCTTTGTCCTCAGCTGGGTGTGACGTCACACAGATCTTTGCTTTAACGAACCCTGAAGGCGAGGTGCATCTTGTGCAGCGTGCCTGGTCATGGGTCTGGGCTTGTCTTGCAGGATTTGACTTAGATTTGAATCCTGGGTTATTTAGATTTCTATTTTAGTAAAAACAATATCGTTCTTTTTAGAGTTGATCAGTGTGTAGTCTTTTAGATTATTCTGTTTCAAGTTTTCAAAATGGTGTGCATGGTTACATTTGTGTAATACAATGAAGAAAACAAAAAAAAAGAGATGCCGGTGCTCAGAAAAATATGTTATGTGAATACTCACCACATACACACATATGTGCCCACTTCTAATGCAATCAATGCTCAATTACCATTGTGTTACCTCATTCCTAACACATGACACACATTTATTTAAATGACATTTTAAAGATTACCACTTCAAGTTCCCAAATCTGGAGAAACAAAAGATAAAATAGTTGCGCTATTCAGGTAGAAGAAAGAAACCACTCATACCAAAAGAAAAGAAAAGAACAGAGCGATCCAAAGGCAAGGATGAGGGTGGGACATTTCTAGCAAGAAAGGAAAAACAAAGCTTAAAATCCCCTAGCGATGACTCGTCTGTTAACTTACTTCACAAATATATTAGTGCTTCTATGCTGACTGCCCAGGCAAGAACATTAAGTTAAGCAAGATTGTGGACACGAGTAACTGTTTGTTTCTCATGGTAATAAGCCATCTGTGCCTAGTTGAGTACATTATAGGTAACATGACGTTAACTTGAGTTAGATTAGAGACCCAGACTAAACATTTTTCAGCTACAGTACCGTTTAATTGAGTTAATCTGATAATGTGAGACATTAAGGATTCCAAGTTAAAGGAGACTATTCATCCTGTGTTTCTCTCTGCACCCAACCATGAACACATGTAATACATCCTTCATACCTCTTATGGCTATAAGTGGTTATGGTCCACAGTTACAATTCTTCTTTTTAGTGCCTGTACCTGGCAGTGCTTTGTATGTGTGTTGAAAGTGGGGGCGGCTATTAAACGCTTTGAGCTGATGAAGGCTTGTTGTCAGCCCTCCAATGTGTCTCTGCAGGATTTGATGTCAGAGATTACAGATGATTATGTGGGTTGGATCCAGTACTCAACACTGCTCTGGGCTATATTGATCCCCAGTGAGTGTGAATGTGAGTGTATGCACGTGCTGTACTTGCATCCTTATGAGAGCCAAATGACCTCTCGTAAATAGAGAGCTATTTGGCTATTAAAGGTTTTTAAGATAACTAATAGCAAATGTAGTCGTACAATCATGCATGCCACTGGGAATATTATTTTCCAGTGATGGGTATGTAGTGACACAATCAAACTATCGGAGTGATTCTTTTTGTTATAAGACAACTCGTTGAGATGAAAGATACATTTGGTGTACAGGTCAGAGGTCAACTGTGTGTGTGAATATGTTCATTGTCTTTATGTTCACCTTTATGATAGTGAAATGTCCTTACACCAAAACTGAAAAGGGGCAGCCTCCAGAGTGAATAGGTTTGGTTCTGGATGTCACTTTTGAAAAGGCTATTGAATGAGATGAAGCTATTAAAGGATTAAAGTGCAGGTTTAAATATCGTTCCGTCTTTATGAAGACTTATTTCTGAAATAGCACCTGTGTGACTTTGACTGGTACCACTCATTTAAACCCTCACCCCTGGTCTTTACACCCTAGTGTACACTAACTAAATCTAGTGTCAAGCTTACCATTAAAGGTCACTTAGTCCACTTCAAGGTTCAAGGCTTTTATTAGTCATACGTACATAGCTTCAGTGTATTTATGACGATGAAAATCTTAGGTCTTAACTGTCTACAAGTTAGTTAGTCTTCTTTCAAACCTGCAGATATCATGTGTTTAATAACTGTTCTAGTAGAGTTCACTGACTGTGGTTAGCATGTTATTCTAGAGTTTAAGTATATGGATAGTTGACCAGACACCGCAATGCAAGAATGCAATGAGAATTCAAAATAATAAGGTAGTCACCTAAGCAATATTTTATAGGATCTGAGGAATGCTACTTCTAAATCCTATCTGGGTGTTTTGGGTGTTTTAGGACTCCATGTAAAGTAGCAGCCTACTCAATGTACTCAAACACAACCTTAGTGCAGAGATAGGAGGATGGCAAGGCGACGGGACCACCTGCTGAATAAATCAACGTGGTTTGACATTATACCCTACGAGATAAAGCACTGCGATATCCTGTTCTGTACAGTGTGGTATGAAAGAGTTTTACCTCTGTCATGAACCTTTGCTGAATACTTATCTTTGTGCATTTATCAAGCATGCCAAACATTATTGATTATTCAATCAATAACAAATTATTAATTTGCTGTTTCTCTTTGCCTTTTTGTTATGGTAAATTGTATACGTTGTTAGGTGTTGAAAGTAGATTCAACAAGCAATTTGATCAATTAAAGCCTTTTTAAATCATGACAGGATTTTCCATTATGCAATTAAGCGATTATGTAATAAAATGATTGCCAGATTAACCCATTAATTGTTAGTTCAAGCCCTAATTTACTGGTTCAAGCTTTTCATAAGAGAGAATAAACATTTTTAACACTTTGATGTCATCTTAAAATGTTTGTGTTTGTTTGGCAAACACACCTCTTTCAAGTGTTACCAGGGCCTCGGGGGATTTTTGATTGTTGGAAAATAATTGACAGATAAATCAATAATTAATTTTACAACAATATATAGGTGGACGGTTATAGTGATTAGATTGCACCATTTACTTTGAGTTAGTCATGCACTTTTGTCTGCCTCTGCAGTTCTGGATGAATATTGTAAGTGTGTCATGTATGAGTTGTTTAAAGTGTGCAATGTCCTTTGTGTGAAGGATGATGCAACAAACATGAAGGATGGCTTCCATTTAGTCTTAGTAAGTAAGTGATTGAGTACTTGATTCTAATAAATGACATTATATGCACATACACAGGCCGAATGTAAATGTTTGTCGCTTGGGAGCCATTCCGATTGTTGATATGCCTTCCATACATGCCCCAGAATCAATGAGTAGATGTTGAAAGGCAGATGCATCTCTGTGCATTATATAGGTCAACACAGAGCTTATCAAGCTAAGACCTGTTCACTCTCAGCCCCTCTCCCTCTCCTTCCCGTCTTGTTCCCTCTGTTCATTACTCTCCAGTACGTTGTCATTTGTCTCGTTCCCCTCGCCTTTCATTGAAGCCCTCTCATCTCTCCGTGCTGCGTTTCTCCCCATCGCTCCATCTTGTCGACGCTCAGTATGCATGACAGGCTTGGGCCTTTGCATGCATCATTTGTCACTTAAATTGACTTTGATGCAGATGGAAATAATGTGTACCTTTTTGTATAACTGATATCTAATTCATTTATTGGTTTATTTTACATACTGGATTTTTGTTTGGATGTATAAAAAACATATATAACAACCTTCAATTCGTTTTTTTTTTTTAAACGGATGGAACATTTCTTTGGTTTGTATATGTTGCATGTTGGGTCAGCTGAAGAAGTAAAGTAGCTCTGTAATGGGTTTCTGATACAAAAAGAACACGTATCATTGTGTATTATTTCTATGAATGAGAATGCATGAGTACCTCTCACATCCTCCCAGAGAGTTTTAAAGCTTTAGTGTACGTTTAGTGTAGTGTTCATCTGTACTGTTTGTTTTTCTTGAGAAAAGCCTAACGGAAATGAGTTACAATCCCCGATTAGGCATACTGTACAGAGAGAAGAATACTGTAGCTCCTAAAATGCCTTTTCTCATCGTTGGGGTATCAGTGTCTTTTATCTGTTTTACTATCATTTATGTATGTGTCTGGTTGGTCTTATGCCTCTAATCAGAACCAGAAAACAGCTGACCAGAGTTTTTAAGAGTCATATTTTCAATATTAATCTAAAAGGTTTATGCATGTAATTAGATACATTGTTTAATATAATACAAATAATGATGCACACATAATGGGCCCTAGTCCAACCTATTCAGGTTGCTTGTGTTTTATGTTGGTCATTGTGTTAAACCCAGTTGTCTATTTGGATTCTGATGCATTAGGCGCTTCAGATGTAGTGTGTAGCACTGCCATAGGGCTCAAACACAGAGTACCAAAGCTTCTCATTATTAACTGCTGCTTAACAAGTGTGTATGTATGTGTGTATGTATGTGTTTGTGTTGGGCTGATCTCAGGATTAACCCTAGCCCGACCTCTTTCTGCCCTTCACCCTGTAACGCCCCCCGGACCAAAATGGATGAGCCGTTCTGTGTGTGTGTATAAACATGCACGTGTGGTATGTTGGTTTAAGTTCAAACTAAAGTGGTGCTTTGTTTCCTCTTCTGCTGTTGTAAAACTGATCATCAACCTACACATGTGGATGGAAATGAGCAATATGCATCACTTGGCTGCTTGCATAGAGAATGTATGCCTTGGTTAGCATACATAGCAGAGAAATAGGATGTTCTTTCTTTGCATTTCAATGTCCAGATGGCAGCTTGGACTGCAATCAGCCACTACCTTTCTGAGTGTGTGAAAGGGGGGACATAAATGTACTTAAACTAAAGAAAGATGCAATAGCCACAAAGGCTGGGAGAAGGGGGGGGGGGGGGGGGGGGGGGGGGGGGGGGGGGGGGAAGGGTGAAACACACATGGACACAGAGAGTGAGAGAGGGGTAAAAAGACAGCCAGCTGAATTCAGAGTGAAGGAATGAGGACTGAAGGGAGGAGAGGTGGAGAGGGAGAGCTTTATTTCCTGTCCTCCATGAATAGGCAACATATTTCTCTGGAACATTCCATCCTCTGAGCTGGCCCGGCCTGTCACCAAGACTCAGCCTGACACACTCCTTCCAATCTCATCATTTCTTCCTATTACACTCTGTCGCTCTTCGTTTTGCTCGTACATATCAACCTTTACTTAATTGTGTTCTTCTCTCGACTTCTATTCCTATTTTCCCTCAGAAAAAGTGAGCTAAACCTTACGTTTTTGGGTCCAAGCTCTGCTGAGCAGACCAGAGTAAAAAGTAGAGTGAAAGTAGAATAAACATCTACTGCTGCAAGGGAAAGGATTAGACATGAGATAACAAAAAGTAAAATAATCCTGATGACATAATCCTAGCGTGGGGTGTGGATCAGTAGTTAAATATACATTATGTGATGGATTGGTATTGAAAGGACGAATGGATTAAACTTGATTACATCAAACTTTGATAAAAGCAGCAACTGATTACAGGATAATCAGAAGATGCATTTAGAAACGTACAGAATCTAGTCATGAATTGCAATTATAATTGGTAAATGGAGAGGCATATTTGGTCATGGAAAACATAACAAGGTATGCTTCTTCTGGTCAGACTGTGTTTAAAGTGGACTAACAAAAGTCTGTGTTGTTCAGTAATGTCTATTTTGTTGCATCTTCCCGATTTGAACTCAACCACAATCCTAATTTGAACCCTAACCCATATAAACCACATTATATCAATTGACATGTACAGTCACTTGATTATTGGGCAATAATGTCAAATGCTTAAACAGGCAAGTCCTTTTTTCAGCTTTGTGATTTTATTTAAGAACGGGCAGCTGGTCAAACATGTCCTTCCAGAGATAGTTAATCTCACTGGATTTCCAAAGTGCTCTAGATATGTAAATATGAAGCAACCACTCTGGGTGGGGAACAATCTGGAATTGGCTGATGATGATAACACGTCGGTCGTGGGAAGAATGTTTTTCAGACGTCCTGTTTGACTGTAAGATCCAGATGCCTGCAGAAAAGTGGGAAGTAAAGGACACTCTTTCCTACAAAGGGCAAAAGTGTTTTAAAATAGAAAGTAGTTAATATTATCACCTTGTGGTGACACACAATAGCTTAGACTGCTAAAAATAGAAAAAAGGATGTTCTATTTAGGTGATGAAGCCATCAGCTAAATGGGAAGGGTTTAATATTTATTGTTTTTTTATGGCCAAAGGGGGCAAACAAATGTTTTCACACACAATTACATTACATTACATTGCATTTAGCTGACGCTTTTATCCAAAGCGACTTACAATAAGTACATTCGACCAGGAAGACACAACCTTGAAGAAAACAGAATCATATAAGTACATCAGGTTTCATAGAGCCAGACATTTCAAGTGCTACTCAACTGGCTATAGAGAAGCCAGTCCTTTATTAGTATATAAGTGCTCTGTTAATAATTCTATCGCTCGAAGTGGAGTCGAAAGAGATGAGTTTTCAGTCTGCGCCGGAAGATGTGCAAGCTATCTGCTGTCCTGATGTCAATGGGGAGCTCATTCCACCATTTTGGAGCCAGGATAGCAAACCCACGTGTTTTTGCTGATGGGAACTTGGGTCCCCCTCGCAGCGAGGGTGCAGCGAGTCGTTTGGCTGATGCAGAGCGTAGTGGACGCGCGTACAGTTTAACCATGTCCTGGATGTAGGAAGGGCCAGATCCATTCGCAGCATGGTAAGCAAGTACCAGTGTCTTGAAGTGGATTCTAGCAGTTACCGGAAGCCAGTGAAGGGAGCGGAGGAGCGGAGTGGTGTGTGAAAATGTAGGAAGGTTGAAGACCAAACGAGCCGCTGCATTCTGGGTGAGCTGCAGGGGTCGGATGGCACATGCAGGTAGACCAGCCAGGAGGGAGTTGCAGTAGTCTAGGCGTGAGATGACGAGAGCCTGGACCAGAACCTGCGTCGCTTTCTGTGTCAGCTGGGGACGTATCTTCCTGATGTTGTAAAGCGTGTATCTGCAGCAACGGGTTGTAGCAGCGATGTTTGCAGTGAAGGACAGGTTGTTATCTAGGGTCACACCCAGATTCCTTGCAGTCTGAGTCGGGGAAACAACAGAGGTGCCGATGTTGATAGTCAGGTCAAGAGTGGGACAATCTTTTCCCGGAAGGAAAAGCAGCTCAGTCTTGTCAAGGTTGAGCTTGAGGTGATGAGCTTGAGGTGATGAGCAGACATCCACTGAGAGATGTCAGCTAGACAAGCAGAGATGCGTGCGACGACCTGGGTCTCTGAGCGGGGAAAGGACAGAATTAATTGGGTGTCGTCAGCGTAGCAGTGGTATGAAAAACCATGCGGGCTAATGACTGATCCGAGCGAGTTTGTGTACAAGGAGAAGAGGAGGGGACCAAGAACAGAGCCCTGAGGGACCCCTGTAGTTAATTGACAAGGGTCGGACTCAGACCCTCTCCAAGTAACCCTGTAGGTACGGTCTTTGAGGTATGAGGTGAGGAGGGAAAGTGCAGAGCCTGAAACTCCAAGTTTTTGGAGAGTGTGAAGGAGGTTGTCATTGTTAACATGAGCTTTCCTACGTATATATTTATATTCAAGCGCACTAATTCACTTATATGTTACGATGAGCTCATCACAGTTTAAATGGATGTGAGCAAGCAAGTCAAGCATCAGTGCTTTTAAAACATTAGCCGTGAAATGTGCATCTACACACTGGAGTTGTTTTGATATGATGTCCTTGGCAGCTGCTCAATCTCATTCCTCACTCAGACATGTACACTTCTTAAACACACGTACATTCCCATGTGCGTACTAATAACACACTGCTGTACAAACTAACACATGCAGTAGTCATGCCTCTTTTAACATGTTCAGTTTTACACAAACACCCCCCTTCACACACACTTTCCTTTCCCACCCTTCCTCCACCTCCCGTCTTCCTCTCCTCCTTTTGTTCTCTCCCTCCCCGGAAGGCGGGTGAATTGGACCTTGTTCATATATTTATTGAGAACTGCTTATTTTCCAATGTGACTAAATGATTCACTCAAGGAAGTTTTGCGCTGGTTGAGTTCGATCGAAGCTTCTCCGTTTTTGAAGGCTGCGACTGTTTAGGGCTTAATCCTCCCCAAAACACAGCTGGTGTCACTTTGAGACGCCCGGAAAAACAAAGTATACCTATGTGTCTGTGTGTTACGCTGTGTTTCAGATGCAATGGCTGAAAATCCAACGCAAATGTTGTGATACAGACATGAGAAGTGACACTGCCAATGCTCTTGTGTCAGGACTGCATCAACGTGTACCTTTGATGGAATGTGTGTGGAGTGTTTTCAATGCTTCTTTCTCCTCAGCTGCACATTGAATCGAGGAGGGTCTTCATAGAGAAGACACACCCCTTTCCCCCAAATACAGAAGGCAACATGGGCTCTTAAAGTAACAGATGTGTGTAATATAACAGAAAAACCGGAATAACAGTGCTGCTTGAGAACAGGAAGTTCCTTTTATTACAGTTTCACAAAACAAATATTGCCTCATTTGAATCTGACCGTATCTCTCTGTCAGTGTTTCTTCCTCTGTTTATTTTGTTGTCTGTCTGCCATGCCTCCTCCCTTCTCCCCACATCTCTATGTTTGGAGGTACACAGCTGAAGCTTATTGTTGTTTTTCAATACCTCATATGCTCACTTTTGCTGTTCAAACACCCACACAATAACAACTGTGACAACTTCCTTACACTTCTATACACTGTGCCCATATGTGTGCACAAGCATGTACCGCTGAAACAGTCAATCGATAAATCAATTTCTCCATCAGAACAGCATGCAACACCCTGTGTACTAAGACTCCTCAAAACGACATATAACATAGATAAGCATCCGTGGAAACAGACTGAAACCAAGCAGGAAATAGACGTAGATAAGGGGTCAGAGAAAAAAGACAGTGTCTGAAACATAAAGACATAGAGCTATCAATAGTTTTTTCTCACATATCTCGACCAGCACACATCCGATAACAAGAATAAAGAATAACCAGGGAGGTTTGTGTCTGTAACAAGAAGGATGTTTGCTAAATATGTGTTCTTGACAGCTCTTCAAGTATGTTCTGTTCACAGGACTTTAACTTGTGGAATCTCCACCCACAATGTGTGTGTGTTTGTGAGTGTTCGGTGACTAGTGTGATGCACTTGTTTGCACTGTGTGTACTTTAACCACATCATCACTCTGTTCAAAATAGTTATTGCCGAGTCAACATGCTGTTCCTTATTAGCTCACAGATGGCAAAATACACACACATACACACACACACACACACACACACACACAGCTGAGGGCTGCTCCTGGTACTCAGCTGATAAAGTTGTTCACATGCACTTCATTCTGTGTCTGTAGACCAGCAGCAGATAAGCCTCCTGCTTTTGTGCTTGTGTCGTGCTGCGCACATTCCAAGCAACACACAGAGAGCTTTTGTGTGTGAGCGAATAAGACGCAAAGGAAGGGGGAGGCGGAATCGCATAGATGTTTGCATCTTTATTCTCTGAGCCATTAATTAACCTCTTTTTATAAACTGTTGTTCAACACAGATACACAACCACACCATGAAACACAATGACAAGTGATAACACAAGTTCAAACACTTTACATGCTTGAAGCTGTAAAGGACACACACTTACCACACAAACACACACTTCGTTTGATCAAAGTGCTGTTTAGTCTCCATCTCTACTTCTGCACAACAGGCCAAGCAGGAGCAGGTGGGCAGGGTTTTGGTTTCCTCCAAACCCCCCCCCCCCCTCTTTCTCTCCCTGCCCGGCCAATCAGGACCTCAGCCATTACAGCTGACCCCCCTTTTCTCCAGCCAATCAGCTGTCAGCCCTTTCTTCCCCCTGTATGCCTTCACTGCTGAGTGAGCAAAGCATGCCTAGCTCTATCAGCTGAGAGGAAAGTACAGAAAGCAAACACAGGCAAACTGAAATAGAGAGAGACAGAGTGTAGTGAGAACGGGTGAGAGGAGGGGCATGTAAATAGATAGAGGCAGAGAGGAGAGGGTGAAGAAGAGGAGGAATGGGAGGAGAGGAAAGGGGGAATGCTAGCCTGTGAAGGGGCTTTTGTATTCAAGATATTTTGGAGGGGCGCAAATGAGAGAAAGGAAGAAAGATGGAAGGGGGAGCTTGAAAGAGAAAAGGAGAGGGAGGGATAAGGGGAGATGGGTGAGGGGGGAGAGTTGTTGATGGGTTTTAAATTTGTGTGACTGCAGGGTGGAGAGAGGTAGACAGCAAGAAAACAAAATACAGAGACACAGAGAGAGAGTGCAGGCTACAGAACAGAGTGGGGCAGAACAACTTGACTTATCTCCGTCTTTCTCAACACTATTCAGGAGGAAGGAAGCAAAGAGAGGCAACACACCCGAGAGAGAGCAGCAGTGGAAATAGAAACACAGGAGTACAGAAAGAAAGGCAGCAGAGTTTCCCATCCAGCCACCAAAGGGAGGAAGGACAGTGAGGGAGACAGCAAGATAAACCCCATCTTTCTGAGAGGGTGAGTGCCACAACTTATCCTGCTGTCAAGCCAAAGTGTAATGTTGCTCCTGTCATAGTGTCAGCTGGGCTCAACGTCTCCTAAAATGGCCACATGAAAGGCAGACAGACAGTCAGGCGGAGGGAGGGGGGGAAGGGTCCCCGTGTCAAACAGCATTCTCAACAACTATGTCCCTGAGCCAGCTTAGACTGCACGAGCACTGCAGTGTGTGTTTGGTGTCAACACTGACGCTCTGAGGTTTATCAGTTACAGTCGACTTGTCTCCTATCACTCTCTGCTCTCGATTGTTGCTTCCTGTCTTCTGACTTCTGACTCTAACACACTCTCTCTTTTTCTCTGACACACACATACACAGTCTGCTGTCATGCCCTTCCCTTGTGATATACTTTTTCTTTACTCTAGATTGCTCCTATAATCTAATCAACAGGTTGCAGGCTCTGCTTTTAGTGTTACAGAACCTGCACACAAGTGTCTATGCTTATCAGCCTCCACGCACAGCACAGGCCTGGGAGTAGGTCGGGCGGGGTGCAGCTAAAAGTTGATGAGACAATCGTGGCATTTGGGAGGCTGCTAACTTCACAGTGACGTCATACGGTATGGGCGGGGACGTAAAGGGTGGAGTTCAGGGTGCAACTTCAAACAAGCTCTTTATAAAAGGCTGATTCAAGATGATGAGCTTATGTCATTGATTGAAAATAGGTTATTTTAATTCATCTCTAAAGGGATTGAGATTTAACCTCATCCAAAATCAGAATGCCGACAACTCCCCCTTCTCTGTTGTAAGGGACACATTGGGCAAAAGGAAATAACCCACCGAGTTTGCGTACTGACACTAAGGGACATTAATTAGCTAACACAGTTGCAAACCACATCTTGTTAGTAGGACATTTAACAGACGGTTGCCCTTGAATTGGTATTTTGTTTTTGTTTTAAGGATACCAAAATGTAAAAAAATAAGCACAAGCAGACAACCTTAATTTTCAAATTACTGTGGCAATGCATCAGGTTTCAGTGTCCCTGAAAAGCGTTGTGCCTATGTGGAAGAATATATAAGAAATGAAAAAAGAACAGATAACACAAGTGTCAAGTATAACCTAGCATTTGCAATAATTCCGCCTTGCAATTTCTAATCTACAGTAGGAATTATTCAATTATTTATTTTACTATAAGATCCGAAAAGTAGTTTTTTGGATGCTGTGAATCTACAGTACTACACCTGTATAATATAACTGATTATAATGTATGTGTGTGCGCAGCATCTGGGTGTTGTGATAAGTGTACACAGGCCAAAATGTCAAGGTACTTTCCGAAGGTGCCTATGCATTTCACAGAGAGCTGCCTTTGGGGTCAGGGACGTCCTCATGTGACAAGTCTGTGTCAGTGTGTGTCAGTGTGTTTCATTCCACCCATCTGCAACATTTTACAGGAAGCCACAGGGTCTTCAGGGTACTTTTGTCTGTTCTGCAGATGTTTTTGCTTAATAACATACTGATGTTCCAGTTACCACTCCAATGACTAAAGAGTCTCTGACTCTAACAAGCTGTTAATAGGCTGTTTGGTGAAACTAACCCAGTGTGTGTGCAAATCATTTGCCACATGTATCGGCAGCTTGTGTGCCTCTGAGTTTGCCTTTAACCAACGCTCCCTAAATCAACCTCTCTAAAGAGGACGAAATGAATTGCATCTGGTCCTCCTAATGTGTCACAAGTCATCTGACCCAATACTTTTGGCCTTTGACCTCATGACCACAGCTTTCCTTGCCCTCAAGGGTCACACTGATTTTCTTTTTTTAAATACAACTAAGCAGCTAAATATCCTCCTTGAAGGACATGATTATCTCTTGAACAAAGTGTTTGAGCTCCACAACAGGCATGCCTGAGGTCAAAGGCTTAAGGCTCTCCTCAAGGCCCAGGCACAAGTTCAAAGAACTAGTGGTGGTGGATGTTGACTGTTGCATTGCCTGCATCTTGGCCAAAAAGTTGCCCTTGAACACATCATAATCACTAATGCTAAAGGCCAATAGTCGTTTATTCTGTGTCTGCGTGAGAGGAAATATCTTCATACCACCAGCAGCAGTTGTTTCGATTTCTCACTTAAAAACGGAAAAGGGAAGACCTGCAATTACAGATATACAAATTATTGTTGAGATGAATACCTTATTTGCCGGGCATTTACTCAGTAGATCTATTCACCCCTAAGCTTCATTCCTGATGGCTTTGTCATTGTGAAAATATCCGTGTATTAGAATGATTAGTGGAGATGAGGATGTAAAAAGAGCAGAGCCTCTGTGTGAACGCTCTTTACTTCAGTCATTTGCTTGTTTTCATCATTTCTGATTCTGACTCGAGCCTTGATTAGCTTAAGCTTAACAGCCATCAGTAATTTCTCTCATTGACTGGCTATTCTTCCTACTTAATATATTGAATCGGACAGAAAGCCGCAGACAAAGGGTTCTTTTGTTAGAATGCCCGTGGGAACTTACGTTTTTTCTTCAGGTAATGCTACAATATTATTTTGCAGTCCAATCGGATTTTAGACTGCATACACATTTAATAAATATGTTTATTGTTTTCTTAGTGTAATTATTCTGGAAATTCATTTCCCATTTCAATGCTACTGAATGCTTGATGATGAGCTCTGCTTAGCCCAAGGCAAACTGTACTTACCTCTTTTTAATGCATTTTGTATTGGTCCAATTCTCCACTTCAGTGAATCTTTATTTCATTGTGTCTCTGTGCCCAAAAAGCCTCTTTGTGACACACACACACACACACACACACATACACACACACACACACACACACACACACACACACACACACACACACATACACACACATACACACACGTAATTGCTCACAAAAAACAAAGAAATAGAGCTAATCCTCAAATGTGAGCATTAAACAGGACTAGCTTCAGCGTATTATCCTGTGTTTTCTGTGGGTTTCTCCTCAATGAAAGCATTTGTGTGCCCTTTAATTCAATCATAATCAATTGTTTAGCTCTCCTTTTGCTGAAGCAGATCCTTTTTTAATGATTTTTTCTTAAACTGAAAACGTTCACTCCTATGCACAGGGATTGCCATTGGGTACGTCTTCATTTTTATGCTATCCTCAGCCCTGCTGGTTTAGATGCTAAAGCTATGATCAGTCTCATATTGGCCTTGACACTGGCAAGCTCGACCTGCTGCTGCTGAAATGCTACCTTCCCCAAGGTCTTTGGCTGGGCTGTAGTGTCTCTCTGTTCCCCTCATCCTCCCTCCTTCTGTCTCTCTCTGGGTGTTTCCCTCTTGTCAGGCGTTTATCATTCCTTTGTCTGTCATATCACCATTTCAGCTCACGCTCTCTCTTCATGGGTGATTGCTTAATGCAGATGTTAACACCCAGATTGTCTTTCAATGATGTGTAACATCTTCATGCTTTATGTCAGCAGAATTCAATAAGAATATAAGAGGAATTTTGACGATAATTCATATATTTTAAATAATAATAGCTATAATTAATAGCTTTTAGAAGGAAAGTGTAACAATGTTATATAGACAAAGGAAACTACCCATATTGACTAAATTAGTTCACTGAAGTGGCAAGAAGTATAGATAGGTTGGTACTGACTGTGCAGGTCTTTTTTGCCTAAGGATGCAGGACGGGAGTGTGAGAATGTTAAACAATGTTCAGAAATGCAGTAATAGAGTTCTAAAGTTCTCAAGCCCGAGCTGGCACTCATGCCCAGCAACTTGAAGCCTATCTTGGGGGGAAGCCAGAGTTTTTTCCCTCCTCTGTTGGCTCCTGAATCAAGCCAGAAAAGGGTTGGGTAGCCAAGGCCAGCCTCCTGCTCAGCGAGTTCAAAACAAGTCCAGAGATCAAGAGGGACCGAGCACAGAGCCTTTAGGTTCTCCAGTGAGCTATGACATAGGCAATGACTATAAATAATCATTGCTGACTCTTTAATTCTTTCCCCATCCCCCACTCCATGTCCGCCCATGGGTGCTTGCACTGAAGACTCCACCTGTCTTCAAAAAGAGAGAGGAGAGAGGAGGGGATTCCTCGCATTGGGTTAACCGAACTTTATTTGACTTGGTAATGAGTGTATCCAGATATCCCCGTTTGACTGGGGTAGTTCTGGTTCAGCCTAGGAGTTTCCCCATCCCAAAAGATATCACTCAAACAATCATGTTTACAGGACGTGTCTTCTAAATGTCCTGTTTAAGCAACAGTTTATATGTGACCCTTTCATGTTTTCAGAACTTAAAGTGATACCTCCAAGTTTCCTCCTTTTTTAATAATTGCCTAATTCCAGTTGAAGTGGCAATTTCATAGCATTTAGGCAATGAATGTTAGTTTTAAGTTAATATTACAATTATCAATGAAAAGTATTTTTTCTTAGATTGTTTGCATGACTTTAAAATTGGATTTGGTTGTATTCATTTTGGAAGAGGCACTCAAGTCTGTAGGTCTGTTCTAGCTTTGTTGTGTTGCTAATGGTAGTGTTGTGGTAGACTGTGTATGACTGCATTGGGACCATATGTCTTGTGAGTCATTAAAGGCTGCAAAGGCTTTACTCCTGGCATCGTCTCCATGTGTTTCTTTGTTTGCATGATAGCATTCTTATCTGATGACACCAGTATACTTATAGGTTATAATGTAAATAGGGGGGAGGGTCGGTCCATTTCTACTTCCCCTTTTATGTTCCTGTGTCTGGATCCTTCTCATCCTTCCCTCTTGTTGAAGTTGTAGACTTTTATATTGTCACGAATACATAGAAAATGTAGTTTGGATAGAATAATGTGGAATACATGTTAATATAAATAAAAGTCAAATACATTTTCAGATTACTAATTTAAACATTGTACCGAAGAATGTAGCTACCACCTGTAACCTACTTAGTTTGACCTTTACTTGTATAGCAATTTGAGGATTGTATTTGCCTTACCGGGGATGTTGTATACATTTCATCATACTGATACATTTCAGGTGGGTTTGTAATGGAAAATACCACTGGTTAAAAAAAGGAAATGTACATTATGACAGTTGTTCAGTTTTGTTTCCTCTTGCTTGATCTTTTGCCTTATTTCATCACTTTTCTGTAAGCAATGGTTATCTTTTGTGGTTTCGTTATGATGACTCAAAAAGAAAGGGAAAGTGTAGTAACTGGTTTCTGTAATGTAGGTATAAATGGGAACCAACTGTATTTGCATTGGTTACTGATTTTATAGAGGTGCCAGCAGGGTATATGAACAGGCCCTTATCACAGCCTGTTGAGATGTTTGGCTTGCTGTACACACTTCATAAAGGAGAGCCATTTTGATAGATATTTTCTTAGAAGAGCATCTTTGCCGGGCTTCCACTGCCCCCCCGTTGTTGAACACCCCTTCACTCCCCCTCTCTCTAGCTCTGCTTCTCCCTCTTTCTTGTGGCCAAGCACAAAGGAGCCGTTATCCTTGGGCTACTGGTTGTCATAGCGACAGTTCACTGTGACCCCCCCCCCATACCCAAGTTCTGGTCCAAGCCAACTGGGTCGGGAAAATATTAACTGGCATCTAGAACTGGAACAATCAACTGTCTTCTATGAGAAGCTCCTCCATGTTTTAATCCCAAACCCAAGGTGTTGAGGCTATTACTAAAATGGAAAATAAAAATAGTAATATTTCTCCCTTGGTTGACTTGTTGAGTACTGAGGAAAAGATATTGATTATACGACTCCTTAATTTTTAGTTTTTCTTCCGAGTCAACTAATAAAACATTTAAAAAAGTGTCCTTTGAACAATAAGTAAAATTAGCTGACTGACTGATATGATTTTTTTCCTTACTTTCTGTCTCTTCAGTCACTCTGGGTGGAATGACCCTGTCATGATGCCAAAGCCGTGCCACACCCCACGCCCAGGGGACCAAGGAGGGCGTGTCTGGCTATCAGCCATCTACAGAAGGAGCCCCAATAGAGTTATTTCTGATTCCAGTTCAGAGATATTTTATCTCAAGAGCCTCATGCATTACTGACCATCTGCCCCTCTGGTAAGTTTTAGCCTTGAGGTTTTATCCTTCTTGAACAAATGAACAAACACAGTGCGTGACTTTACAACACCAAGTTGTTGGTTGCTCGTAACTTCTTATGGTTAAATAAGTTATAATGATTCATGCACCCAATGGGTTTGACAAGCCAGCAAAATAAGGTGTTCATTTATCTGGCAATGAGCATTATACATAAAAACGCTGTTGTCACCGCAAATCATAAGCTATAATATATCATGTTGTTAAGTAATTGCGTTGAATTTTTATTGGTAAATCTCTTTATTTCTCTTCAGGTCGTAGCCTCTTTGCACATCTCCTGCTTTCTCCGGAGTCTTTACCGTTTCCTGATTACCTACCCTGGTATGTTGGCGTTGTTTTGTGGCTGCTGCCATGGAGATAAACAGACTTCTTTAGTACACCATTTTAGAGACAACCTCCAGATGTTGTGCCAGATGCAGGGTGTCCAGGCGGGCACGATTAGACAAGGACTGGACCATAGGTAAGATTCTGATCTCGTATATTGTCTTTATATCTTTATATGTTATTGAATTAGACAGGAGACTCATTTATGCAGTCAAAGAGCAATATTTTACTACTTTTTTGAAGCTGAAAGGTCCCAAATGGTGGTTAGATTTCATGTTCAATCAAACCATATCCAATGATATGAGTACCTGATTTCCTTTCTGATTTTGTAGCAATATTCTTTTCTCAGGCTATATCTTGTTCAGCGTTAATGTGGCTTTACAACTTTCAAAATTAAATTACCTGTAATAAATCATATCAATAAATGTTCTCACATCATTCTTGCCAGCTTAGAAAAGTCTCAATAAGTTCTTGTCCTTTTTTAATTGAATCATTCTTTTGTACGTTTACCATTACTCATATACAGTCTGCCTGCCATTTGTAATTGCTTTGTAGAAAACTGTCCTGAGTAATGCTGTAATTTGTTCCTATCAGGTGCTGTGTGGCTCAGCTTCACAGTTCACATTTGTTGACGACATCACAGCAGGAATTATAGGACTTCCTATTCCTGTGGAACATCTAACCCCGCCTCCTGGCACCTGTGAGGCACTACTTCACCCTATTGCAAGTTAATCAAGACTGTTATCCTCCAGAATAGAAACCATGCGGCACATTCACGTCGAGTTAGCCCACAAAAAGGCTCCATTAGAGCTTCCAGCCCAGGAGGGGGACCTGCCTCCACCGACAGCCCCAACACAGGGCCTAGACCCTGGTGTCAGACCGGGGGCACCCAGGCATTTTGGCCAGGAGCAGTTGCGGCTCCAAAAGGTCTACCAACTCTCCATTTTCTCCCAGTTGGGGGGATTTTCTACCTCCACAGAACCCCACACTGATACCCAACAGAGACATGTCCGGTTGGGCGTCAAAAGGGGGCTAGAGGAGCCCCAATTGACTCATAAGCACCCCCACCTGGGGGATTCCTCAGACAAAGAAGCGTTAGAGGAAGGGGTGCTGTGTGGGCCAGCCCCAGCTCAAGGTGTTGGGATGGGGTTAGCAATGGGCCCTGGAGGGCCTGGTTCTGTATACTCTTGCACACAGATGGAGCACAGAGACTCTGAGGGGGGACTCTCACCCAGGTCTCCACCCCTCTCCCCAAGCCACAATCCCTCCCGACGCCCAACTCAGCACAATCATGACAGGCCCATTCCTGATGTATTTGCTCCACTCTCACCTAAATCCCCCCCAATGTGTGACCCACATGGACTTATTTCTGACCAGGGCCATGCCTTTGGTAACTCGGCAAGGACTGATTCACCTAACGGGGGCCACACACCCACCTACTCACCAGGCAGCCCTGCAAATGAGAACTGTGGTAATGGGAACAGCTTATCTGGAGGCCAGCCCAGCCCACGCCTATATGACATGTCCACGTATGAGACCCCCAACCCTGCCAGCCCCACCAGCCCTCCCGGGCCTTTCTCCCCCCCACATCACACAGAGTTGCAGGAGCCAGGGGAGGCCACCGAATGGGATGTTGGACTTGAATCCTCCCCACCTGAGCGAAGTGCAACCCAGACTGCCTCCTCATCCTCCAACGGCCTGGCTTCCTTGGAGAAAACTCCAAGCAGTAATGGCCACCGCTTGTACTCTGGTGGCCACTGGCCAGCCAAAAAGAGGCTGCTCTCCCCAAGTGACACTGGGGACTCATGCTCAGAAGACGAGGGACCCTCCACTTCCAAGAGAAGCAGGCTGTCATTGCTGGCTCCAGGACTTGGCCCGACCTCCTGTCGCAGCACTGATTCTAAAGCTGCCCCATATTGGAACCACCTGCTGCCCTCTGCATGGGACCGGCCTAAGGTCAGCACACTCACATACTTTTTTCTTGAAATGTTCTTTAAGTAATTTGAAATGATCAAATCACATTAGTCTGTAGTTTCAACTGGGGTACTAGCGAATAGCAAATGTTAGCTATTATGCACTGGCTGTGATTACAGGACAGTAACACCAATGGTAGAAGTAGCTACTTTACAAGCTAGCTTAGCATATGATGTACAGTTGCAAATGGAAAAGTTGCAAAAGATACAAAATCTTACATTACTCAGTACATTTGGTTTTATTTTGCCTTCTTGATGATTCCATTTCCCCACCAGAATATAAATACCACTGGAAAAAAAGCTCTAGGCGACATTGAGGCAGAATACATTAAAATAGCATGTGGTCATTCACATGCAAATCGCATGCTTTAAGACAAAAAACATTTACACCACTATACACAGAGGCTTCTTAAACTTTAAATACAGGATAAGGAATGGCCACCCAAAGTCGGTGGTTGATGCTAATACATCTATGAGCCTTGACAGCCCTGGAAAAGAGGCCGAGGCCTAAATAAAGAGAAAGAGAACGGGTAATGTGAAAGAATGAAGAGATGGCCGGCTCATGATCACGCCACACTGGAACAGGCTGAGTAGCTCCAGAATGAAGCTCATTGAGGGAGGACCCATTGTTCCCCCACATGAGTGTGTCACACACATGCAGACACATAAATACACACAGAGGCACACACACATGTACATACATGGTGCTTAAAAATGGTTCTGGAAGTGAATTGGCCATTTTTGAACATGGGAGTGTGTGTTTGTTGGGTGGGAGTATGATAACAATGACAATAGGGTTCACTAGTTCACTAGTTAGGTGGTGGGCTCAGTGCGGTTAGAGGTGTTGTGTGTGTAGGTGTGTGTTAGGGAAGCTCAGAGAAAAACCGATAGATCCAAGAAAGACTCAAGGACACACATAGGGACAAAAAGGAGAGTGAAAGTTAGAGTTAAATTAAAGGATAAAAGAAAAACGGTATAAGAAAGGGGAGACAGAAGGATATTCTAAAATGCTGTATGTGGTTTTGATTGAGTTTGAGGATACGGCGGCAAGCTGACAAAGAGCTCCAAGCTTTGTGGAGGGCCAGTTTAGCCAAGGGTTAGCTAATAAAAACAGGCTAATCATGAGTGAAAGGTTTGCTGTGAGCAAATGGCTAGCAGGTAGCATAGGTTTGGCTAGTGGAGAGTCATCTGACAGTTGTGTGGCCTTTACGATGAACGGCAGCCTGGAAATGGGGAATGTCTATGTGTGTGACGCAACATCCAAAAGTCAGTGCTCAGTAAGTAAGAGGACAACTCAGATACACATACACATTACACATATACAGTAGTCTCATAGGAACACAGTAAAGACGTACGTATGACATATACTTAAATGTAATCCTTTTTGGAGTATCTTTACTTTATCTGTTTTCTGTTTTTCTTTTGTGGATTTCAATCAAAGTTCTTTTAAGTTACTTATATTATTTTGGGAAAAAAGTAATAGTTTCCTTTTTGTATTCTCTTTGCTCAGACCGCAACAGATTGCACAAGATCAGGGAGACGACTAAAAAGTGGACTGCGGCTGAAAAGGTGAGTTCTCCATCATATCTACACAGTTTCACCATTTTATTAAATTAACATTAAAATGGCAAGATTTCTAAAAAGGGATTAAAATGTTTAAATGTTTTGAGATTTTAAGAACATGCATTGTATAGATAGGATCAGTTCAATGTCAGTCAGACTTCAGCAAAGTCAACTCGGGAAAGAAGGTTGGAGTTAGTAATTTGATGTTATTCTGAATTTAAGTATTTCTGTCTGGACTTGAAAACTCAGAGGCACGTGTCATGTTGTTTGAGAGAAAATTAGTATAATCTGTAACACCACTCACCACCGGTCTGTTTTGTGTGTGTTTGTGGTCACATTCAGTCGGCAGCTGCGCAGCGGCAGACACACAGACACCGGCCGCTCCACACGCTCCACTTGGCCCTCATCTTCCATCAGCAGATCGCTACTCGGCAACTTTGAGGTACACATTTTAAACATTATTTAAAAAACTTAAAGAAACATCAGTGACTGCAGGTTGAAGATGGTGACAGAAAGACTTGGCAGCAAACCCAAACAGTAATCAAATCAAATCAAGTTTTATTTATATAGCACATTTATAAACGATTTTGGGTCGAGCCAAAGTGCTGTACATATAATAAAAATAGCCTACAGTAGAGACACTTTACAGCAAATACAACAGCACAGATTGTTCAGAATATCAGTATGAGAAAAACGACACCCTCTATCCTTAGACCCTCACATCGTACAAGGAAACACTTCCAGAGAAAACCCACAGTTTAAGGGGAAATATGGGAGAAACCTCAGGGAGAGCAACAGAGGAGGGATCCCTCTCCCAGGACGGACAGACGTGCAATAGATGCCGTGTGTAAATCGAAGAGATAATACATTTTACAGCATATAGACCGAATGTTAGGAAATGCATGTGTCTGTAATAAGAAGATGAATCCACGAGGATGTCAGCTACAATCCTGTGGAAGCCATCAGGGAAGCAGCATGACGAGACCCAAGGCAGGACCGCAGAGACAGGTTCAGCCACGACCCGAAGTCCACGACTTAATCCAGAACTCAGGATAGAGGATCCAAGACACAGGACTACAGCAAGAGGATCAGCCTCGACTCTGGTTCCCGGCGTAGATATAGACACAAAACAAGAAAAAATGTGGCTGGGTTAATCGGAACAAGAGAATACACAGACACAGACAGAGAGACAGACGGAAGAACAAGCACAGTACAAGTGGAGCCGGGTAGTCTTGGTTCTTCCTTGTCACCACATATACAATCTGATGTAATTGTAACTGTTCAACCATTACATTTAACTTTTTATGAAGTATATATTCTTCAACCTTTAGTGACATTGTCAGAAATGTCTAAATTCAAATGTATGTTGAGGTCAGTGATAAAGAAGATAATACAGTGGACTACATTATATTGACAGATATTCCTAATTTTGAGTCTTTCCCAGTCAAATACATAATACAAAACAATAATATGAAAATGGAGAGCTTGTGCAGGGACAGGGTAAAAGGCACATTATTCATTACCATTTCAAAAAACAGTTAAAAATACATTTGATTTAACAGAACTTTTGGATGGTATTTTAATCAGTTGTAAGATGTCCTACTATGCCCTGTAGATCTGAATATCAGGGAAAGATTGTTCAAAATCTTTGCAGTTTTGAAATCTGGAATTTGAGTGTAAACAGGCATAGCTGTTTGTGTAATTGTTGCAAAGCCTTGCCTATGATTATAAGGATTAAAAGGACAAAAGGACATGGTTAAGATATCTTTTCTCATTTGTGTAATTTAAAGACACAGGATCATACCGTATTGGCCTTGAGTAGTGTAAATCAGCTACCAATTTTATGTTTCAAAATGTTTTTTCCAGAAAATTCCCAATTCAAAAGAGTTTTAAATGACTTCTGTTAACAACTGTATTCTTTCTTCTCTCACTCTTGTGTCCTTCAGGAGTCCATACTGAAGGGAAGATTCTCCCCCTCAGGGAGGATAGAGGGGTTCACAGCGGAGATCGGTGCCAGCGGCTCTTATTGTCCGCAGCACGTCACCCTGCCGGTGCAGGTTACATACTACGACATCTCAGAGCACAGCGCACCCTCACCCTTCCTGGTCAGTCAGTCAGTCTCAGTGTGTGTTTTTATGTGTGTGCCCACTAAGAACAAAAACAATGTTGCATGTTTTTCTTTTCCTTCTTATAATATAAAGCTTTTTGTCTGTTCACGTGAGCAGTGAATGAGATATATTTTATATCTATACCAAATACATAGCAAAGTAGCACCAGCATCAATATGTGAATCTCTTTAGTCCCTGTTACAAGAAGTCTTAAGTTGTGTTTGCTGCCACACTGGACTACTTGGAAAGCAGTCTTTTTTCACTTTCTTAACTTCATGCCTCATGTTGAATGATATACATAGTTATTCTGTCAGTTTTCGTGTACAATAGTTTATTTTTCACTGCTTTTGATAGGAAACTGCTTTTACATGCATAACCTTTTATAGTATGCTTTAGTTGATCAAACCAGAAATGAAAATGCACATTTCTTGATGTGAAAACAAGAACTGTACCAAATAATGAGTTATTTTACCATGACATTGATCAAAGACATTAAGTCAGTTGTGTGTTTCTGTCTGTCACTCTCACAGGGTGTGATTTCCCTCGAGCATCTCGGAAAGAAAGGATACAGCATACCCAAAGCAGGGACCATTCAAGTGGTAAATAGTTTTTTGTCTTGTTTCTTTCATGTCATTCCTTGCCTGTGAATCTTTCAGAGATATGTCATTGTGCCACCGCAATACTATAAGGGGGCATTTGCATTATTGACACTAAGAGCAGTTGTAATCTAACTTCTAGCATACTTCAAATAAAACCACTGCAAGCTGTCTTCTTTTTGCTGTTTGTAATACTGACTTTGGTCCAACATATTTTTCAGACCTTATTTAATCCCAACAAAACTGTGGTGAAGATGTTCCTGGTGACCTACAACTTTAGTGACATGCCAGTTAATCACATGACCTTCCTACGCCACCGTATCTTCTTGGTGCCCGTAGAGGAGGGGGCTGAAGGGAAGGGTGAGGTGCCTTCAGGGAGCGCAGTGGTAGAAAGGAGGAAGATTCTCTGCTACCTGATACATCTCAGGTAAATCAGGTTTCACTTTTTTACTTTAGCAGCCTGTTTTGTGATTGTCTGAAAAACATCACAAGATCACGATGTATTTCTAATAGTTTGACAGCGTTACACAACTGTAAGCAAATGTTTCCTTAATTACTAGCAAACTTTGTTGTCCTACTGGTAGTGTTAATATTTGGGAAAGGTGTTGTGCCAACGCATTTGTTTTGGTTATTTTCTTTCTCAGATTCCAGAGCTCCAAATCTGGGAAGATCTACTTGCACAATGATATCCGGCTGCTATTCTCCCGCAAGTCCATCGAAGTAGACACAGGGATCCCTTATGAGCTGAAATCTTTCACCGAGGTGCCAAGAAACCCTAAATACTCCCCCCGCGTGTGACCCGAGCTTCACCTTTTGACCCTTCCCAACGCCAATGCAGTCCCTCCTGTGCTTCCTAACGAGGAGGGAGGGAAAAGACAGACTGCTAGAATGATGGACGCAAAACTTGATAAGACTTGATGAGACACACCACATGCACACAAGACACACATGCACACATAATACAGTGTGGTGATATCACAAATCCCCCTTTATGCATTTATTCTCCATTGAAATGTAGACAGTCAAAAGACATTAGTGATAAAAACGTCACTAAAGCAAACATAGCATTCCTTGTATCTTCCATTAGTTGAAAGTATGAAAAAAATTACAAATATTGGTATTAAAGCAGTCCAGCATGCATGCAGTCAAAATCAGGACGGTTCCGAAAACCTTCATCTGTATGAGAAAAAAAGAAATGCACAAAATACACACACACACACACACACACACACACACACACACACACACACACACACACACACACACACACACACACACACACACACACACACACACACACACACACACACACACACACACACACACACACACCAAAAGAGACTGACAAGACTCACACACAGCACATACTTTGCACGTCACAGCTGAAACACTTCTTGTGGTGACTCTCTGAGTTTAGTGTTAACATGCATGCCTTGTGACTTAAACACCTGAATTTTCCTCTAGTGCTGTATCACACTGTCCTTCACTCTGCCTGCAGCTCCAAGAGATTTGTCAAGAGGCCACAAACAATAAGCACATCCCTGATTGTAGGGTGAAGAAAATAACGACCCCCCCCCCCCCCCCCCCACACACACTTTCTGACCGGCAGAGAGGAGATGAGCCATGAGACACAAACACTAGTGAAAGCAAAATGGAATCGGCCATCCAACAAAAACAAGAACATGATTTGATCAAACTCAGGACACATGTTGAAGAATCAAATTCTCCTCTTCACTCTTCACTATGATGGTACAGACTTTAAGCCAGGATCATGGATAAATGTCCAACCATGTTGTACAAAAACAGGGGAATCCAGTTCAACTTATGTAGCCAGACTGAGGGACACTGTTGTTTTCTTTCTTTCTTTTTAGAATCTGTTCAGAGCAGTCTGATGTTGGAGCAGAACATGGATAAAAAACAACAAGCTGTAGTATTTTTAATTTATGTTTTCGCAAATGTCTTAATAAGCAATATGCTGCACAAAGTAGAGTGTGTTTTTAAGCCGGACGAGCTTTCTCTCTGGTGCGGGGGGGGGAACAGAGAAAGCGGAGGATTGAGTGTGAGGGAGGAAATAGGAGGAGGGAGGGATGACAGGGAGGGGGGGTATTTAATATGGGGAAAAAGTCTATGTATATTTAAAAGAATAAACTCTGCGACTGGCGAGTGAACGACCTGTCTTTGTTGTGGTTTTTCAATCCTACATTTTACCTACACCTCCCATAATGCATCACCCTCTTCAACATCTTTCCATAGACCTTCTTTGTGCCTGATAAACATGAATGTGTTCTAAACTCTACACCCCCAGTTTGCCATGCAGCCCTTCTGTTATTAAAAGTCTCAATGCTAATGACATCAATATGACTTCATCAGGGTTTATTTCTTCAACATGACAAAGCTTCTCCAGTTCCCCAATTAATATTATACGTTTTCACAGGCTAAGTTAACTAAACTTCACATGTAAAATGTATGGAATAACACTTAAAAAAAACCAGAGTTAGCATCCTTTTCAAAAGAATATTCAAGTAAAAAATACTTGGCGATTGTATTTCTACCCAAACTTGAGGCAAAGGTGAAACATATTTGATACAAGTGTTTATCACTAAAAATATACCCAGGACTCTGATACCACATGGAATATAACACCGAAGAATGGAAGCAGATGCAAACAGCGATAACTACATTTCCATTCATGCAGATTGTTTACAAACCAGCATGAGAGGAACCTTTAAGCCATAAAGTGCTTCCTCCCCCGGCTTCTGCTGCACCACTGAAACTGCTCAGTGGATATGAACAGACTCTGGTTGTTCTGCAAAATATTACTGTCAAACTGTGAATGTCAAGGATGGCATTGCTGAAAATAGAAACCATCCTCTGTCAATATTACCCATGGTAAAAAAACAGAGGAACTTCTATATATATCTCGACAACAAAACTGCCAGTCATTACTGCTACGTACGATTCGCCATGAGTTTGCCTAATGCAAGATTCACATTTTTGTATTACGGTCTGATCCTGAAGTTTGACAAAGAGTACACTTATGTGGTAATTGCGTATTTTTTTTTAATATCCAACAATTATTTTTAAGAAACAGTGGTAGACAATATCATTTAAACACAAACTAGTAGAAAATACCTTCAAATACTGCTTTACACAATTTCTATCAGGCTGCTATCTATCTGTCAACTGACATTTACTGCATATGTTCTTCATATATTTGCGATTTACTTTTAACTGATATATTTTGTTGCTTTTTGTTTGACATGGCAAAAAACATGGTGCTTTGTGACTGATGCACCTGCAGCTTGTCTCTAGAGCTGAGTTCTGTTTCTTTTGTGGCTGTGATATTTTAAAGCCTACAATGCTGCTTAATTGCAGCTAAATGCATTTGGTCCTAACACTGTTTTAACTTTAAGAATAACGTAGATCCAAAGAGGCCAATCTTATCAGGAGAATAAAGGTTGAAAATGCATGAACCCACCCTCCTCCCTCATCCACCAACCTACACAGACACACATCATCATTTATTGCACACCAGTGCTACGTCCAAGTTGTGTTTCCGCAGTGGCTCAAAGGACTCAGATGGGTGTGACTAACAACAGTGCAAAGTTTAACCAGATGGGAGGAGGCTGAATAAAACCAGCAGTCCCTGAGTCCTGTGTTTACAGGAGAGCCTGAACAGGAAAAAAGTAGAGAAGAATCCTTTAAATCAGTGAACAATTTTCATGCTATCTTTCTTTCCTATGTCCCTCCGTAGATTTGCCCCCTTTCCTTACACTTCTTCATTAACTGTTATCCATACTACAGCATTTTTAGCAGCATTATCTGAGCGATTAATTTTCTTTTCTAGATGTTAGATTTGAAATAATTTGTAGACATAATAGTCACTAAGGTTATGTGACAATGATACTTACTGTATATCCCCAATGCTGACTATGTCCATTGAATGGTTTTAATTTACATCATTGTCTGACCCCTTGTGGCAGTAGACACTATTGCAGCTCCCCATACAGGCCTGCAGAAGGGAAGAAGGCTGCAATTGTGGCCCATTCAGTACCTGCCAATTTTCTATGAGGCGCAGTTTGTACATTTTTTTTAGACTGATCCTCCTAAGGTATACAATTATAAGGTTTTTTGCAACATTGATTTGGGATTGTTCTTTTTTAAACTTTCCATCTTCTGGATCATTAACCCAGTCCTTTTAAAGTTAATAATGGCTCTGCAGTGTCTGTCTCTTCCCCTTTTCCCAGACAGTCCGGTGACTCAGAGCATGGCTGTTTGATGCTCCTGTCAGATTCAATATTTTTGGCACACATAGATGACGTAAATGTCTGAAGAATAAGCAAGTCATCATCCCTCACTGTGTGTGACTCATTCTTGCTCAAGCAGAAATGTGCTGTTTTGGATCTTTGAGATTAAAAAAATACAAACTATATTTATTTGACAAGACAATAAAATGGTAATTATGAAAAAAATATTATGTTTGCAAAACAAAAAACCTTTCTGAAAATATTCTTCTATTACGTAGCTGTTTATATTATATACCACCATTTTAGAAATGTAGATGGAATGCCAGCATTAATTTGGAAATGACTTACTGAGGTGGTTATTTGTGTCTCTAATGTCATAGTGAGTTTAAATTGAATTCACCTTTTCTTCATTATTGTTCTTCTTATTGTTGTTTTCACAATGCAGAGACTTTAAGTACCCCTTATGTAAGTGCATGTTCATTTTAATAGTTGGTGTACACAAAAAAAATACAAGCGTTCATCTTCAATTAAGTGGTTTAAAATTTTTTAAAAAATGATATTGTAAGCATAGAATATGGAAATAAGACATCATTCATGTCATTGTTGGTAGAGCAGACTTATATCATCTATAAATAGTCTCATCATGGCCGAGCTGATCAGTGCTCATTGGCTGCAGGTCACTGTCTTTAAAAGAAAAGAATCCCTGAGTGTGTGCAGTTCCTCCCTCCTCTCTGCTCTCCTTCTATATGACGTCTTCCAGTGTGTGAGCAGCGCCCTCGATGGCCTGACTCAGGACGGACAGGTGGTAGTGCACTTTGTCCCAGGCGCTGGACTCCACCAATGACTCAGCTTTTGCGTAGGCATCGGCAAGACCGGGGAAGGTTGGCTTTCCGGCACTACTAGAGGCCCAGATAACATGCCTGCATGACATACAGGGTTATAAAGAGTGTTATAAAATACCACAATCATAAAATGATATAGCAAAATTACAAAGAAGCAGGATATCACTGATGTTATCCTTAACATGGCGTCCGAATATGAGTGTAAGGGGAAGTCACAGAGAGGAACAAGGTCAAAATATATTTTAAAAGCTAAGAAACTGAGCTCTGGGAACCCTTGAAAATGCAGTATGTGTAAAAAATGACTCAAGGCAGGCCATTTCAGAATGCTTACAATAATGACGTACATTATATTTAGCTTATTAATTTAACAGATCTAATTGTTGAGACATTTGACTCAAAACCACCAATGTAAACCTCATGGTGGTGCTAGAGGAAAAGAGAAAGGCTCATGAAAAGGCCTGTACGCAATTTCATGTCAATCCCTATTAGAGTTTGGATATTTCAGAATAGGACTGCCCTCAAGCCACGCTGCTAGCTTTATTTCCCTGGGTGACACATCATCATCTCACCTGAATGCATATTTCTCTGGGAAGGCCAGAGGGTCCAAGAAAGCTCGGTCCAGCAGCATGAGCTGGTCATTGATCCTTCTGACCTTCAGTGGTCTGAAGCAGAGAGACAGAGAGAGGGGGCTCATTTAGCAGAGGAGATAATAATATGACGATGTGACAATTATGACGTATGTTTTTGTTCTTACGTTTCATTTGCCAGGTCTGAAAAGCGAATCACCTGGTCCAAATGAGTAGCTGCATTGCGGAAACTGGCCACTGCACGTTTAATTGGTTCTGAAACAAAACACAAATCAGCTATGAAGCCTCCGTGCGAAGCTTTCACCCTTCATACTCTTCTGTGAATAGAGTCTCAGGTCTTGCAGCTGTAATTCAAGTGATTATTGCAGCTGCCAAACTATAAAAACATCCACATTTGACACAAACTTGTCATGGTGAGATATGAATCCCAAATGAAATGTATTTTACCCATACAATATTTATTATAGCCCCTGTTACGGCAATATTCCCCAGCATCACTGAAATCTGTGCTCACCCATGGAGATATGCCTGTTTTGCAGTTGCTGCTCATAAAGAGTCACGGCTGTGTTCAGGTAGTCTTCCAGAGTCTCAGCGTAGTCACTGCAGTTTAATGGCAACACCAGGCTGTCAGCCAATCGGATCAGGACGTTTCCTGCTGTCCTGGCAATAGCCTGGTGACTGAAGAACCCTGAGAGGGATGAGAGGATTTACACAAGAAATTGTTTGGACATCCTTTGAAGTTGTCACATTTAATAACAGAAGATGGAGACATGGCTGGGAAATGTAAGACTTTTTTGTTAAACATATATATTTTTTTGAAACATTTACCACAGAATAAAGTATAATCTGCAGGACCATTATAGAAAAATGTGAATCTCATTGCTCACCGGGATCAATGAACTTTGAAGCGTAGTCAAAAGTGTCGTATGCTGTGTGATACGCAGGGTAAATCCGAGCATTTGTTTTACTCTGTACAAATTAAATATCAACATATTATAAATTACATTACTTGAGTTCAGTCTAATTCTGACTTCTTCTAAAACATTTGTACACCAAAATTATTTATTTTCTTAAAAAAAGTGCAGCAAGAAAGCAATGTCCAATACATTTAAGATTGAGTTAGTAGGAAGAAGGGAAGACAGCCATATTACAGTAAGACGTATGCAGCAAGTCTTTCATACCCTGTCATATGTGTATGATATGTCCATGGAAGTGATTCCCAGGTAGTGGACAAAGGCAGCGTAATCACTCCCTGCTCCTGATAGGTATCCCACCCTGTTTAAGGAAGGGAGTGCATGCAAGACTTGAGCTTTCTGTGAAAACACATAGTATCATTTAATTTCAACACGTATATGATGCAAATCAACTCAATGCACAGATAATAAACTACAGACTGTATGGAAAATATTCATTTTCAATTAACTGATTTATAAGGGTCTTTTCAAGGTGTGTTCACATTTATCGATCACTTTGATTCAGGATTTAAACCGTTTTCTAGCCAATCCCATTGTTTCAATTTGAACAAAAACCCATCCACCACAGATTATGGATGAAGCTTCATGTCTAACAACAATGGATAAAAAACCTTGCATGTAGGAAACTCTCATTACTTGGGAATGAGTCCGTGGGTCGGGCTTGTCCTGTTGGCATATTGAATCCAGTTGTCGTACACAGACGTGGAGTCCAGCCCAGGGGCATCCACCTAGAGAGCAGACAGGCTTTTAGGTGTCACATTCCTGTCGGATTATTGACGAGGGTTTAGCCAAAGGTAAAATGCTGGAGAGAAAGCTTACCTGTTTTGAAGCTTTAAAGATGACGTTCTGTAGTGATGGCATCCCAGAAGCCCTCAGAGTGGCGTTTGCTAAGGAATGGAAGATGAGTGCTTTAGATCAGTATCACTATACGCATCAACAACCCACAACACCATTTACAGTAGGAGATGTTTTTTATGCATTTAACATTATGTACCACCAAATAATTCATGTCTGTCAACTGGATGGTTTCTAGAACATTCCAAAAAACATCTAAAGGCGGAAAAATCTAGTTGCTAGGTTGAAAAATCAACCTAGCAACATCTTTCATTTCCAATAATTTCGGCTGTCCAGGTTGACCAAGTGAGATTACTCCGAGACAGGGTATCTGGTTTTGACAGGTAATGCAGCAAAAGCTTCTTACCAAAAACAGCTATATCCACGTTGATGTACGCAACGGTTCTTTCACTGAGCTTGGTGAAGTATTGCTGGAAAAAAAACAAGACCAAGGTCATATTTGTTACTGTTAGTCAGTTTACAAACAAACAAACAAACAAACAAATCAATGTTATGACAAGTAATGTTGTAATCTACTCAGGAAATGACCAACATTTGCAACAATAAGCTAATGGTCAGTATCAGCAAAACTCCTAAATGTATTGAATTAAGCAACAGAGTGTGTGATTGCTTATGAATACATGAAGAGTGGAGGAATAATTGCATTACCCACCTCTGTGTATTCTGCAGACCCAATAAGGCCAAACTCCTCCGCTCCCCAGCTTCCAAAAATAATGGACCTGCGAGGCCTCCATTTGCCTTTAACAGAGAAAAACAGAGATTAACTCTTTATCAGGCACATTAAACAAAAATAACTCATCCAGCTTCCACTGTCCTCACCCTGCTTGACCATCTTGCCCAGCACCCTGGTTAATTCCAGCATGACGGACGTCCCGCTGCTGGGGTCGATGGCACCGTGGACCCAGCTGTCCCTGTGGTTCCCATAGATCACATACCTGTCTGTGGACACACACACACAAACAGAGCAGAGTGAATCAAGCTGAATTTAGATGGTAGTGAATGCTGATTATTGACTTGGGTCACCAGTCTCACCTGGCTCCACACTCCCTCTGATGACCCCCATCACATTGGAGGAGTTCTTCAACTTTTCATGGTTGAAGATGTCCAGTTTCACATCACTGGAGAAGAGGGTCAAAGTCAGAAGTATGGAGCGACAAGGAAAGGAGACAAATAGATGTCCCAGTATTAAACTGATGGTGAGTGCTTTTTGAAATGTTTGATATGCATTTTGTATTTATACTGTTTTATTCCAAATCTATTTAGATGATCTCATGATTTTGTTTGTCTTGACTCCCTCTGGCACATGTCCTTTGGCCTCATTTTTTGTTTATTCACCTTGTTTTTTTCCTACTTTGTTAAAGGCACTTTTTTAATTAATACCTGTTGTTGAAAGCAGATGTCAGTTTGAACCCTGGACCGCCAAAGTTGTAGATACAGTTGAATGATCCCTGCCATAGAGCTGGAGCTGCTTCTCCGTCCAGCTCACTGAAATAACCAGAAAAATAAATGTAATGTATTATTTTAAGTTTTTCATCCATAGACTGCATACATATAAAAAGCCATTGCAAACCAGATTAGCTTGTAGGCATCCTCAAATCCGATTGGTTGAATAGGAATGGGAGGGATCCCTGTGATGTCCTTGACAGGGATTCTGTAGGTTTCATCTAAAGAATAAGTTAAAACAAGTTAAACATTCAAATGAAAAGGATTGAAATGCCCTGGTTTTATCTTTATATCAGCTGTGTGTTGCAAAAGTCCTTCCTCAGATTGTGTTGAAGCCAAAGTGCACAGTAGTAAACACACAATAAAAAAACAAGTCACAGGTTACCTTTGGCAGCCAGGTAGGGAGTGAGCAGGTCTCCATAGTGGGTGTTAAAGGAGCCTCTCTCCACACCGGACGGCGGTAGGTACCAGGAGTGAGGATACGTCTCATTGAGGTCTGACATGACACCATCATTGATGTCCAAAGGGTCTGTGTACACAAGAACCCCGATCACTCCGTAGGGTGCTCCATTAATGGCCTGGATGAGACACAAATGATATTTTAATTACATAAAAAACGGATTTATACTTTAAACAAATTATTTGAACAGGCGTTTACAACTGTATAAAGGCAATGTAGTACATTAAAGTATCAAAACAGTAGTATAACTATTAGAGAGTGCATGAGTCTCAGTTAGTTTACAAATAAAATACACTTACTTTATGATACTTTGTCGGAGGACAAATATTATATTAATATTATATGTAAAAATGAGTTTTCCCTCGCTAAAATAAGAAACTGTGGCTGTTGAGGAGAACATTAGTTAAAACCTGGGCGAAAAATCTTACATGTTATACTTTCATGATTTTAAACAAAGAATCTGTTGATATTTCATGTTGAGTTATACAGAAATAATGCTGAATCTTGATGACATGATTTTTTAAAGCTTTTTTCAAAATCTATGTTTTAGTTGATTAGTTCTGACAGGGACATTGTTGTAATAAACTCTGCACTTCTCCAATGAGGAAAGCTATTTTAATTAAATTGGTTGGACTGTAAATGTCCACAACCTCTACTATAATGATAAAAAGTGTCATTAAAAGATAACAAATACTGACTATATGGATTCATATGAAGAATAACATTTCAGATGCACAGCAATTACGACTTACATCTTGGCAATTCAATTGTTAGATCCCAGGCTCCTCCTAAATTGTAAATTGCAGTACACTTAAGACATTAAAAAGTACAATATAAATGTGACTCAACGCTTATAGCTTGTAACTATCACTTTTCCCAACACAGGGTTTTGTCTCCCGTGGACAGATTGTCTCCGCTTATCTCATGAAAGATAATGGAAACAAACACAAACAGTATAACAGGTCACTCACTTTGTCAGCTCTTCCTGCTCCGCCATATCTGGTGATCGCGATGGTTCCTCGAAGGTCAACCGTAGTGTTCAACAGGTGGTAGTCACTGGGTTTCCCCTGGTTGGCGTACACCAGTTTACCCTGAAAACATCAGAACAATTTTTTTTAAAAAGCCAATAAAAAACACAGTGACGTGAATAGCCCATCTGTTAAACAAAAATTACTTTACACCAAGGCACTAAGGCAACATGGGGAACATATTGGGGACTGTTTGCCTCAGCCCATCAATACATTAATTTTAGGAGGTTTCTGTTCGGGCATAAAAACAATACATCTACAACTTTTTGAATCGTTTAGAGCAGGGATGGGCAAATGGCGGCCCGCGGGACGCATGCGGCCCCCACCTCCGCTTTTTGCGGCCCTCAGATTAATTTATAAACAACGTAATTAATTTTAAAAAAATTGTTTTTAAATATTATTTGTTTTACTTGTAGTACTGATACCGTCCACTAGACTCCTAGTTACGTCGCGAGCTGCGTAGATGATTATACCGCGAAATAATCTGTGACGCATTTGTGTGTAGGCCTATTGTGTTTGTTTCCCGGGGACACCCTCACAAGAAACACCGGCTGTTGTTATGCCTGCTGTGACGTTAAGTTGCCTCTTGCCTTTACAAGCTTAAAAGTTGTTTTTATCATCTGAATTTGGCGAAATAAGTTTAATATTCTTAAAACCAAGACTTTGTTTATTTGAAATCAGATGAAAACAAACTGTCACGGACCCTGCCGTTATTTATGATTACTACGCTTTTCATTCATAATTTCAGCGGGAGGGAGGGGGAGTGGTGCTGAGGAACAGCAGAGTGCGGGCTGACAGGTGTCTGTGTTGACATTCCCCTTATTATGGAATAAGGGGAATGCAGAGACTGGCTACAAGTGTTTTAGGTTCAAGTTAGACAACTAATGTCTGGGTTAGTGTTCATGACTTCATGTGTATGTCATCTAATAGTTAATCTCAATACACACACATTTTCCGTGCTTTCCAATAGTTTAAAATAGTTTTATTCCACTGTTTAATAACCTGTTCAATACAAACATGCCACTTGTAAAAATTAAATAAAATGTCTGTGAACTGATATTTGTTTAGTGAGCTTATTAGAGGATGTTCCCATTGTTTGGGGATGTTCCCTTTGTTTGTATAATGTCAATGAAGATGTCAGACTTAGTATATTTGTTAATAATTACATACAACACATGGAATTTTTGTGTGTGTGTGTTCCAAGTGAATCTGCGGCCCCCTGGTGGCCAGTACATCAATGATGTGGCCCCCACCACCATCAAAGTTGCCCATCCCTGGTTTAGAGTGTTTGTAAGTGAAACTGTATGTTACATTAGAGGCCTCCATGCAAGGCCTTGCTCAGATGCTCCTGGTGAAAACCAAAGAAACGTTTATAATGTAAAAGACTATAAAGGAGATTTAAGAGATCTGAAGAGAGTCTTTTACCTTCGGGTGTCCAGCAGGGGAGTACGCAGCATATGGCTGAACCACCTCAGGGTCATCTTGGTCAGGAGTATAACTCTTCTCCTTTTCTCTGGCAGCGTACAGCACAGTCTCCGACGGGCTCACTGAAATAAACAGCTCATTGTGAATGGTCTGCTAGTACAGTTAGTTCAAGTCAGCAGGGCAAAGACATCACACAAATGTATTTGTAATGTAGTTTAATGTTGACCTTTTTAGATTGGTTCCAGTTTTCTTTTAAGTATGGAATGTAGTCAAATACAAACAAATACGTGTTTCAAAGCATGATAGGACAAATACATTAATAAGGAGTAATTGAATAATTTTCAGCTGGCTTTTTCATAAATGTTCTTCCCTAGGGTAATTCTGCAGATACACAGTTTATATATTATAAAAAATAAATAAATCTGGTTTTACGGCAGATTTAACTGCATTGAATCATATGGCACAACTGTAAAGCCGAGTGATTCACTGCATCTCATATATTAACTTGCCATTTGAACAGTTTCTGTTTATTCAGAGTTATAGAACAGCTACCTGATAATGCATCTTTAACCCTGAATGGAGGGCTGTAGTGTGTCTGTCCCCTCTTTAGTTTAAACATATTTTACAGCCTGTTGACTCACCTACAGTGACCTTGTTTGGGTTATTGGAGTCGGGGAAGGACAGGTAGACCATGTACTCCTCTCTCCAGGCCTGGTCCAGACCGGTTTCGGGGTCCTGCCATCTCTTTAGCATGAACTGCACCGTCTGCTCGTCTCCGGCTGTGGTGGCCATATGGGGCACTTTGGTCAGCTCCCTGTGGAAGAAGAAGGCGTTAAAGAAGATGTTTTGGATATTCAAATGCCTAAAATATGAAAGGGCTATGAGGTATTTAGAGGGTTTTTTCAGTAAACCACAAAGGGATCAAGTGATCTGTTGTTCTACGAGAAACTTTAATACCCTATAGGAAAAAATGCTAAATGAATTCCATGGCTTCATACTAATGTGTATTAGTATTTTCGATGTGAATGACAACAATTGCTTCTTTTGTATTCCCTGTTCTCATCTTGTAATCAGTGGAATGAACAACATCAATAGACAGTGTATCATGATAATAGAAAAAAAACTCACCTAAGGTTTTCTTGAATCTGGATGTTGTCCACCTCAGACAAGAACTTCTCAATTAAGCTCTCGTCCACATCCTTGGTCACATCCTTCACCCAGGACGGTGCCGAGTTGCTGCTCTTATTGATACCAAAGTGGCCAATTAGGATCCCGAAGGTCAGTACGGCAGCACAACACACAATCCCAATCAACAGCTGCTTTATCATCCTCTCTGTGGAATGAAGTCTTCAAAGGAAAAGTTCTGCTTGTCTTTGGACCTGAATCCTTTACCAGAGAAGGAGCTCTCTCCAAATGTCAGGAGTGTTGTAGCGTTGCTTTGGAAATCCAGGCTTGTGGAAGAGAAAACCCTCACACCACACTTTCAAATGATCGCTGCAACACCAGTGCAGCTTCAATAAGAAGAGACAGGCTCATTGTAAAGTTTACTCATTAATGTTTGAAGATGGGATGGACTTTAACCATGTGTTACTGTGTGTGTGTGTGTGTGTGTGTGTGTGTGTGTGTGTGTGTGTGTGTGTGTGTGTGTGTGTGTGTGTGTGTGTGTGTGTGTGTGGCCTAGCATTACTATACTTGTGGGGACCTAAATCGTCACGTGTGGGGACTCGACTCCATTATGGGGACAAATTGGAGGTCCCCATGAGGGGAATCATTCATTTTAGGGTGAAGACTTGGTTAGGTTTAGGATTAGGGTTAGGGTAAGGGTAAGGTTTAGGATTAGGGTTAGGGCAGTGGTTCTCAAACTTTTTCTGTCAGGCCCCCCCTTTGGAGAAAAAAAAAAGTCGGGCCCCCCCAACACAAGTCAGGCTCAGTGGCGGCGCCAGAGATTTGTTTTGGGGGTGCTGTGGGGTAGCTTGACGTTTCATAGAGGGTGCTCAAACATTTAGGGTTTCCCATTAATGTACCGGTCGCTACAGTATTTTCAGGAATTTTCTACTGCAACAATCCACACGCATATACACAGTGTGACAGTTACAATGAAGGCTCAATAATCAGCTCACGGCATATAGGTGTAAGCAGGGGTAAAGTTCTATTTTTATAGGTGGTGTGTGGACCCCCGGGAAGATTTATTTTTAAATATTGAAGTTAAAAGCATCAATCTGGTGCACTTTGAGAGCAAAATGAAGAGATCTATGGATACCTCTCTCAACGCCTATGAAACAGACCTGTAAGCAGATTTACTTTTTCTTTATGGATATTTTACAAATCACCCTTTTAAACTTTATTCTTGTTTTACTGCCATATAGTATTTCATACCTGTTTTTCATTTATTCTCTTATTTTTTTATAACTATAATGATCATATAAACGTGTGCCTCGGAAATAATTGTTTACATTAATCGTGACCAAAACGTTTGAGACCCACTGAGATAACTTAGACTAAAGTTAACTATCTAAACACTGAGAGAGTCCTTTAGTTCACTGAGTCTCTCAGTCTGACAGGAGAGCTCTCCTCCACTTTGTTGTTGAAAAAACTCCTTATATCCGTTAGCGTAGCTCGCTAGCACCAGAAGCTAACAACAACGATCTCCGGTACCGGTGCGCTCTCTCTCGCGCACACAAAATGGCTCGTTTCACACACACACAGAGCCAAGCTTTAATGAAACACAGAGACCCAGACGTAATAGTACTGCATCATATTATTTTCGAATAAATAATTTTTCAATTTATGATTTTTTTTTTTTTTTTAATAACCATTTTTCCTCCTGGTCTCTCGCGCCCCTCCTGGCATGCCTCTGCGCCCCCCAGGAGGGGCGGCGCCCCCCACTTTGAGAACCACTGGGTTAAGGTAAGGGTAAGGTTAAGGGTTAAGGGTTAGGGTTAGGGTAAGGGTAAGGTTAAGGGTTAGGGTTAGGCATGTGTTGGTTATGGTTAAGGTTAGGATAAGTCTCCAGGAAATGCATGTAAGTCAATGTAATGTCCCCTGAAGTGATATATACATGGTATGTGTGTGTGTGTGTGTGTGTGTGTGTGTGTGTGTGTGTGTGTGTGTGTGTGTGTGTGTGTGTGTGTGTGTGTGTGTGTGTGTGTGTGTGCAGGGGATTTTATTTGCATCATTTATTTAGTTTGAAAGGTTCAATCGTCACCAGTATATTATGATGGGAATTTACAGTGATATCAATATGTATGTAAGTTTCCTGGATGCAAAATGTTCTCAGACAGAAGGGTTTCGCCCAATTATTATATGGATGTTAGGGTTTGTAATTAACATGCTGCGCTTCCCCTTCTGTTTGCCCCCCCACCCAATTTAGGACTGTATTGTGGATTGCCTTCCTTCCTGTGTTGCTCTCTCCCTTACAGTAATCACTATTTCATGGAGTTTGTCCACATTTGTCTATGAAATTACATGGGAAAGGATATTGGAGGATGTTGGTTTATCATCAGATGCAGTTTACTGATTGGCCACTTTGGTATCAATAAGAGCACCCTGTTGGGTGGGATCCCAAAAGCGCTGCACATCAGAATCAGAATACCTTTATTAGTCCCACAGGGACATTTGCGTAGTTACAGCAGGAAAAAGACCCACAGACAGCTTAATGTTACATGCATACAAAAAAGTACTAAGTTATGATATAATAAAAAATATAATAAAAAAATAAATGAAAAAAGTTACATCTTTTTCAAAATACACATCCTGTAACAGTTCTTAGGATTTAGCAGCCAGGTATATATTACACAGTTATTAACGGCATATATATATATTGCACATATTGCACATATTGCACATAGTTGGTTGGTATTTAGCAACAAGGGGTGATATAGTCTGTGTTGTGGTGTGTGTAGGGGGGAGGTCTACTATGGGGCTGTGCTGTGTGTATTGTCTGACAAGCAGTGATGACATCAACCTCACTAATTATTCAACATCAGAGTTATATTCTGTGGTTTTCCACAGCGCGCTCTGCGGCAGCCTCATGAATCTTCAGGTTCAACATTAACACAGTATTTTGAAGATGTTACGTATTTGCAGTCCATCTGAGGCCCCTTTTAAATAAACAAAGCAAATCTATCCAAATTACAGTAGGCTCAGACTAATACTAGTTACCTATTTAGGATATGTGATCACAGCTGAGGGACAAATCCCTCTCTCCTAACATATTAAAGCTATTGAGTCTCTCCTTCTATTCCATTATTAATGGAAGAATCTTAGTGCACATGACGTTGACCTGGACTGTGCTGACAGAGCTTTACTGACTTAAACAGCTCTCGCACCCACACTGGGTCTGCCATAGACTGATACCTGACCATTTTCACAGTTCAGTCAGACAACTCACGTGTTTCTTAATATGTGTATTAGAAGCAGCATATAGTTTGAGTTTGGCGTCTAGGCTCGGGCTTCATCACTCCACCGGTGGAAGCTGGGGTGGTGGTGGGGCAGGCAAGCAGCAGCAACATGAAACACAACAGCAGGAACATGAACATGACTTGCAGTAGTAGCAAGTGAACACAGCAGTGGCAAAATATATTCAGAAACTGCAATGAACAATGACTATTATTTATTTCAAGAACTTTTATTTACAGAAACTCAACATTTCTAATCTGTGTGACACAAATATGCACGATTCTTTTAGGCTCCCCCTATTTATCTCAAAGTCGGCCTTCAGGGGAGCTCCCCCCCCCCCCCTCTTTAGGGGAGCCAAGCTCCCCCTGGCTTCCCCCCATTTCGAACACTGGCTATAACTCTTTATTACATAACACGACTTTGGTGTAAGCTTGTATATTTGTTCTTTTCTTACCAGAAGGTGATTAAGCGTGGAATTTCCACCACATATATGAAGTTAGATTATGATTTAATAAGTGATTTCTGGACTTTTTATAAATTCTAAAGAGAGGAATAACAAACGTTTAAATACAGGTTTGACGCCTTGACATGTTTTAACAAAAATAAATGGATTAGTCTGAATATATCTAATTCAAGATACCCCCTTCTTAGCTTCACACTGCTCCGCAAGTTGAACATGATGAAGACTTCACTTCATTTGCATTTCCATTTTGTGATTTTTTTGTCTTAACATAACAAATGAAATAGTGTAACTAGACAAATATATAAAAATAAATACAAACATTCAAACTATATTTCACACACAATACAACTCTGTCAGCACATAAATAAAAATAGTTCAAAACATTTGTCTTGTTTAATTTGTTCAGGCAAATAGCAACAAAAGTGAGTCTTGTCTTGTCAGTGCCTATAAATAATCAACTAAGATCATCTGAGCTGATAACATTGTTCATAGATCTTGTGAGTCTACGGACCTAATAGTACATTTCTTTCTTCCTGTATGCCTATGCCAAATGAACACAATCTTTGTTTTGTCGACATATGACTTCCACTTTATAGCTCAATGTGTTTTGATACTACTGTAAAATAAGAACTTCAAAGAATCAAATGATTTCCATCCATCCATCCATCTTCTCCCGCTTATCCGTGGTCGGGTCGCGGGGGTAGCAGTTCCAGCAGAGAGCCCCAAACGTTCTTTTCCCTGGCCACATCAACCAGCTCTGACTGGGGGATCCCAAGGCGCTCCCAGGCCAGCGAAGAGATATAATCCCTCCACCTGGTCCTAGGTCTACCCCTTGGTCTCTTCCCAGCTGGACGTGCCTGGAACACCTCCCTAGGGAGGCGCCCAGGTGGCATCCTAACTAGGTGCCCGAACCACCTCAACTGGCTCCTTTCAAATGATTTCAGTTGACCTATTCCAGGTTATTTTGGACTGATTTAGAAAACTTGTTGACACTTTAGTCGGAAAAGAAAAACATTTGTATTCTTTATTTTGAGAATAGTATGTGTTTATATTCACTTGACTTATATCATATGCCTGCATTTTAGTTGACAATGTCATTATGAAAAAGTTGATCATGCTGTGATGTAAAAACATCTACATTTGATCTTGTTTTTTTATCTCACATTCTTTTTTTTATGTTGAACTGCACACAAATCCTAAATGTCCAATGTAATTCTCAAATGAACCACTTGTATCTTCAACACCCACATCCTCTGACTTAGCTTCAGGGTTTGAAGAGAAAAAGGGCTCTTTTAAACACAGGGCCCAGGGGAAATTGTGATGATTTATTCAAAAGCGTAGAACAGGAAATAAAAGATAAGAATAAATGGAGAAGGAAACAAAATAATGAATAATGTATCGTTCAGTTAATTAACTCATAAATTATATTTATAAATATATTTATTTTTTAAGAGGAACAACCAGGAATTACCCTCAGTCAAAGCAATGGCACACTCTAGTGGTGAGCTATGTTATTGCAGGCCATAACAACACGGAACTTCCTGTTCACAGTAAATGGTTCCTTCTTATTTCTAACTGTAATATCTGCTCGCTCTTGTTTTGACATCCTTTTATGACCGTATTGAAACTGCTATGTTAATCTATAAAATATGTTGACAGTCTATTTGCTGAAAACCCGGCCGGAAGTCTTTATATTCACACTTCCTGGAGCGCATGAAGCTGCAGACATGAAAACACGTCGTGAAATATAAAATAAAATAAAACATCTTATATCTCATCTTCACCCCAGCTGCAGGTCAATGACATCAACTGTCTTACCTACGTTTCCTGTACCGTCCCAGCATGCAACTCTTCCTTCAACACTTTCACTTTCCCTCTTGAATTATAGCCCGAGTGCTAATACTGCGTGCAAAGAAACTACACGGTGAGTTGACGAAATCAACACATTACATATGATTCATGTGAAGCATGTAAGATAACGGACTATATTAATGTAACGCCTCAGTTATGGTGGAGTATGACAGTTTACTTTAGGGATTCTTGAAATAAATAGATATTTGTGTGAAATCGAAGCTGTTGCACTTCCATCCACCCTGTCACGTTGGTGCGTATGATCTTATGTGTTTGCGTAGCAGAAGTATGATTAACTATGTTGCTTTCATTAGTCTTTTTTTTAATGAGATCATGTCAAAGTGAAACCTGTGTGATGCAAAATCTCTCAACGTGTAATAAAGTCACCTTTTTGTTCAGTGAGAACTGTGTCCACAGATCTGATGTGTTATTTAAATTATAAAATGCAAAATAAAGATACAATATCTCTGAACGCATTTGTGTGATATTTTGTTACAGGTGAGGGGATTTCCTGCTGTCATTGTCACCATGTTAGCAGCACCTCTCCTGTTGCTGCTGTTCCTCCCTTTTCCTCCCTCATCAGGAGCACAGCTACCAGATCAAGATCGAGTTCAGATTGACCTCAAAGGACCCCCTTTCCCCTGGGGCAGCATGAGGCTCCCTAAAACCATCTCCCCCATCCACTATGACTTGACCATCCACCCCAATCTGACCACCCTGGACTTCACTGGCGTTGTTCGTATCCAGCTGGACGTGCACGAAGACACCAACGCCATCATTCTCCACTCCAAGCATCTGCATATATCTAATGTGTTGCTCTTTGCAACTGAAGGTGTGAAGCCTCTCAAGGTGTCGGCGCATCCTCGCTTCAATCAGCTCGCCCTGGAGTCAGACTCGGTGCTGGCCAAAGGGAGGAGGTATGAAGTTCAGCTGGAGTTCGCTGCCAACTTTTCCGAGAGCTACCATGGTTTCTACAAGAGCAGCTACCGCACCAGCAGTGGGGAAGTCCGGTGAGAGCAGGCTTAACGTATTTTTCTGAGTTTCTTTTGATGTTGCCGTATGTAGCATTTTAACATCACTGTATCAGTAATACATATACATGTTAATGCTTTAAAGTAAGACTGTAAGTGACCATAAGATTGGTCATTGATAGCCTTTATTAATACAATATTAAACTGCTGATGATGCTGTTTTTTCATACAAACTGGAAACACAAGGGTTGATGGAAAATGTACCTTCATTTTGACATTAACAGGTGTGAGACAAAAGCTATCAGTAATTTTAATGATGTGTATTGTAGTTTTACCGGACAAAATCAAATTTGGCAATGATATATTGGTTTGGAAAATGCTAAATATAGAATCTTTAATTCTCTTGTTTATATGCCATGCCATTTTACAACCATCTATTTTCACTACTAGGGTCATGGCCTCCACGCAGTTTGAAGCCACCTTTGCTCGATTAGCCTTCCCCTGTTTTGATGAGCCCGCCTTCAAAGCCAACTTCACCATCCGGATTACACGAGAGCCACGCCACATAGCCATATCCAACATGCCCATGGTACACCTGAAGGGTTGACAAATCTTTGCCTTCACATTTCTGTCAAATGTAATAATGAAACATACTATCCTGTAGAGATGTACTTATTCACCATGCTGTCTGTATTTGACCTCTGCTTTGTTTTCTTTATCTATCACAATGCACCTGTGTTTCTTAGGTAAAAACTGATGAGCTGCCAGGCGGTTTGCTTAAGGATCACTTCGACACCACTGTAAAAATGAGCACTTACCTGGTGGCCTACATTGTGTCTGACTTCCTGTCTGTGAGCAAGACCACCCAGCATGGTGTCAAGGTGAGGAGGACTCAGAAACTGTGTATTTAGAATAGTTTGTAATTTCCTTCAAAGACACATTTCAACAGTTTATACAAGATACATTTGTTTGTTTCATATTCAGATGTTTGTAATATTTCTGTTACATTTATACTTATGAGTTTGTTCTTTTCTGTTCTGACCATCAGATTTCAGTCTACGCTGTCCCTGAGAAGATTGACCAGACAGCCTTTGCACTGGATGCTGCTGTCAAGCTGTTGGACTTCTACGATGACTATTTTGATATTCCTTACCCATTACCCAAACAGGGTCAGTGGAAATGCATTCATTGTATTACCATGTTATTAATAGGGCTACAACTAAAGTTTATTTTCACGATCAACTAATTTGCTGATATTTTCGCGATTCATTTTTTAGTATAAAAAAAGGAACATTTGTTTTAAAATGGTTGGATTAGCCGGTGACATGAATGTACCATTATGCAGTTGTATTGATGTGTTTGATGTTGTACTCTACAGACCTGGCTGCTATCCCTGACTTCCAGTCGGGTGCGATGGAGAACTGGGGGCTGACCACCTACAGAGAGACGGGTCTCCTCTTTGACCCTGACAAGTCCTCAGCTTCAGACAAACTGGGTATCACCAAGGTCATCGCCCATGAGCTCGCACACCAGGTAAAAAGAAAAACATTGGTGTCACAGTTAATCACGCTGTACAAAGTTGCCTTAGTTATGAACATGTGATTAAAGTTGGAAGCTGCTGTCGAGCTAAGAACAAGAATTGCACAGTGGTTACAGTTCTAAACTTAGAGATGCATATGTATGTTAAATGCTGGTCTTGAACATTCTTCTTCGTGTGCAGTGGTTTGGGAACCTGGTGACGATGGAGTGGTGGAACGACCTGTGGCTCAATGAGGGTTTTGCGAAGTTCATGGAGTTTATTTCTCTCAGAATCACCTACCCAGAGCTGCAAGTGGTGAGAGACAAGCACGTACTTTTACTTTACCTGAAACATGTAAGCAAGGGATCACAGCATAGCAGGTCTCATCCTGTAATATGCCATACCGTACAGTGTCATTTTGTTTATTCATTCTCTATTTCTGTCTTTTCAAGTGAAATTCAAAATGACTTGCATAAAAAAGAAGATGTTAAATGTACTATAGTACTATATATTGGCTGAATAACTCTTGTGTTATCACCTCGTTAGGTGAAACAAGCAGGCGATGAGAGCGTTTTTGATTATTTTGAAGTGGTTAAGGGTGCCTGTAAAACATTTTAAAATGTTGTAAAGTCTATCCTGAACTCCTCTTACTCGCTTACCTCATCTCCTCCTTCCGTTCTCATTCCTCTCCCGCCTCTCTCCTTTTCCAGGATGACTTTTTCTTGGGGAAATGTTTTGAGGCCATGGAGGTAGACTCTCTCAGCTCCTCCCACCCAGTCTCCACTCCCGTGGAAAACCCCACGCAGATCCAGGAGATGTTCGACGACGTTTCATACGACAAGGTCAGCTTCATTCTATCAAAGAACCAACCATTTACTGATGAACAGTATAATAATTGCATTTTTCAGAAAGCCTTACCCAAAAAACTAAAGTAAAAAAAAACATCAGATTGTTAATTTCCTACATGCCTGTGTTTTCATCTGATTTTAGGGGGCATGTATTCTGAATATGCTGCGAGACTTCCTGACTCCTGAGGCTTTTGAGATTGGCATCATCCGATACCTGAAGCGCTACAGCTACCAAAACACCGTCAACAGCCACCTGTGGGAGAGCCTGACCAATGTGAGCCATGCATTCGAGCCTAAAACGAGTGTTGCTGCCTGTTTTTCAGCTTGACATTTTATCTTTAGCCCTCAAGTATTATAGATGTCAGTGTGACACTTGACAATGGCTGTGTTTGGGATTGAAAGTGTTGTTGTTGTTGTTTGTAAAAGTTGTGTTTGCCCTCCATCAGGTCTGCAACTCAGATGATCTGGACGAAGGCCGGATTAAGCACAAAGAATTCTGCTCTAAGCGTGACGTCCAGTCTGGAGCCACTGTAAGTTTGAATTATTTTAAACAATTTTTAACCAATACTCTGTCTGAGCAAACAGTCCCTAAGTCAGGGTTCGTACGGGTGCTTGAAATCCTTGAAAATGCTTGAAATTTGACGTGGTGTTTTCAAGGTTGGGAAAGTGCTTGAATTTTGGGAATGGTGCTTGAAATTGAGATAAAGTGCTTGAAAATGTAAATGCTTTACTTTTACAATAAATTGCTGTCTGACTGAATAGTTCTCTTTTTAGATTAAAAGAAAATAATTGCTTCGCTTCTACATAAAACAGCTCCGCTGCGGCCTTCCCGCGCTATGCGAGCGACCTGCAAGTGTTTGTGTTACGTGTGACCTGGGCATTCTGATGAGAGTGATGGATGACTGTGTGCCAGGAGGTTGCAGTTTCAACGAGCGTTGGCTAGCAGAAGACAAATACAAGCCATGGCTAAGACGAGGGTCAAGCCCACGAGTAGCCTCCTGCAAAGTTTGCAAAAATAACAATGCGAGAGTCTGCGCTGACGAGCCATATGAAAGGTACGCCGTAGTAGAGCATTTTAGATTAGGCTAACGTTGCATGTTATGTTTGTTTAAAGAGCCTGTGACAGCATCCCAACAACTGTTGTGCAATGAAATATTGGGCTACTAGTAATCTCGAACCGTCAGTTTAAAAAAGAAAAAGCGATACCGTTCCGTTAAATATCAATAATTTCGAACATCGCGGGGAAATTCCTTCGACTCATTTTGAAGTTTTGGGGGAAGCCGGAAGTGACGTCAATGCGGCAACGCTTCACTGTGCGGCGAGAGAGCCAAACACGGACAAAGTGTGTTGTCATGCGTAGAAATTGTGAATTACTGAGTTTAGGCACGTTAATAACGTTTTAATGAAGTTGACTACAGTATATTCATATTTGTCAGTGCTTTCATGTCAATTCGGCGAACATAAACATAAATGATCGTGGTGAAGATGATGATTACATTAGGATTACAAATCGGTAGTGAGAGCTACTGAATTTCCTCCCGTAGGATGTGATATAAAAACAAATCGATTATTTTTGTAGTTGTAAACTCAAGTGGATGAAACTAGCCTACATGAATTAGTGCTTTCATGTCAATTCGGCGAACATATGATAGATTAAATGATCGTGAGGATGATGATTAAAAATCGTTTGTTTGAGCCGGTCTGCATTTCCTGATGAGAAAACAAACCGATGCTTTTTGTAGTTGTAGTACACCAACACAAACGTGTGTTTTTTTCACCACAATGTTGGGGAAATTAATGGATAAAATGCACGGATTATTATTATTATTATTATTATTCCCACTCCGATCGGGACACTAGGTCCACCGTTTCCCCGCAGCGAGGCTCCCCCCGTTGACAGTTTACGTGGGCTGGGTGCAGTGGCGGACTGGCCATCGGGACGAATCCCGATGGGCCGGTACCGAAGTGGGCCGGTCGGATAAATCACTAGCACATCCCCCATAGGCCGCGCGTGAGGCTCAGGTTTGGGAAGGCTAAATAACTTTTTTTACGCCTCCGGCGTCTATAGAAAAGAGATCAACTCAGTGTGCGGAGTTTAAATCTCTCAAGTCATATTACAGGATAAAGGAAATACAGTTTAAACTGCCGTATGCAGAGAAGACGCCGACGTGTCGCACTTATCATTCATATTACATCATCAATCAGATCATCGATCATATAATATCATAATATATCATATATTTCCTTATCTGAGTCAGCTTCTCCAGCCGTATCTGGCCGTGCAACACTTACAGTGTCACATACTGTATGCAGAAGTATTATTTTTAGCAACACATTATGTTGACGAAACACTCGAGTCAAATGTAATTAAAGTCAGATCCACTCGTGTCTTAGACGTGAACGCGCTCTCAGCTGGTGAGAGAAACCCTGGCTTGATTTACCGAGTTGATAACCAGCGTCGAAGGACCGCTTAGCGAGATCTCGTTTGTTAGTTTGTTGTTGTTAGTTAGTTTGTTACTCAAACATATCCAGGGTCTGTTGAACTGGCTTCGTAGTACAGGGCACAGGTGGCTAGCAGAGCTAATGTCAAAGACACAGACATTGCATTATATTTGTATTTTACCGGGATGCAGTGACACAAATATTTACATATTTAACATTTACTATCTACAGCACCCGCCGCCCCTGACATCCCCCACTCCCCCCGTTGACAATTTACTCGCGGTACCGAAGTGGGCCGGTCGAGAGTCCCGGGATGATTTTTAGTCCCAGTCCACCACTGGCTACATGACCGTATGATCGCCCATATTGACGCACCTAATTCCTAAACTTCTAACAGATACAACATAAACCGATCCTTCAGCCTCATATGAGCTCTCAGACACGTTCAACATTAAACTGTCATCGCTGTCTGAGCTTGCTGCTGTGTTCGCCATCGTGCGTTTACATGCAGATGCTGGGATCCTGAACGGTGCAGCTGGAGCGCTGTGCCCGCAATGACGTCACACATAATTTGGCGGGACTTGAAGAATCCCCGAGAAGATCCAGAAAATGGTCAACATTGAAGGGCAGATTAATGGTTATCAAAGTACAAATATCCAAAATCAGTTCAGTAACGGTTTTCAAGGGGACAATATTTACTCAAATTGATGGGTTTGGATGATGGGGGAAATCCGTGTCACAGGCTCTTTAAGCTAACGTTAGCTAGCTGAATAGCGAATTCGATTGACGGATAATAATAATTGCAGGGGACAATCATTTCAGATGAGCGTACCTATGTTATGTGCGTTACAGTCGCCATCCTGTGGTGTTCAGAGGATGAAGCACTCACGGCATTTCGTGTTATAGTCACGAAATATAATCTCTTGATTCGACACAGAGCGATTTTGAAAGCAATGTATTTCTACTGGTAGTACTTTTCGTGCCTAAACCAAATGTGACTTGCTCTATCGAAATCAGTCACATTGACCCGAAGACACATTTTCGTTTGTATTACTGGTCTGGGGGAAGCTCGTGTGTGTGTGTGTGTGTGTATTTTTGCGTTTGTTTCCCGGGGAAACACTCACAAGAAACACCAGCTGTTGTTATACCTGCTGTGACGTTAAGTTACTCAGTTCTCCGCTTGTAATTATGCCGAAGCTTTAAAGTTGTATTTATCATCTGAATTTGCCGAAACAAGTTTCATATTCTGAAATCCAAGACTTTGTTTATTTGAAAACAGATGAAAACAAACTGTCTTTATATAAAATGTAAGTATTATACAAGTAAAACTACATGTTGCTTTAATCCCATGTAATTGTAGAATGAACACAGTCTTCCTTTGAAGATGTATAAGTCAGGTGTCTTGTGTAGTCAGCATTACCTACAAATCATTGTACACATTTGTAAATATTATTTTCCACTTGTTACCATTGTGAGTCTATTTCTATGCAGCTCTGCGTGATTTTGTGGTTACAATTCAGACTAATACGCTACCAGAGGTGGAATAAGTACTCAGGTATTGTACTTGAGTAAAAGTATAAGTACTCAGCTCTTGTAGTGAAATTATAAGTACTCAGATCTTGTACTTAGCAAAAGTAGAAGTACCAGAGTGTAGGAATACTCTGTCACAGTAAAAGTCCTGCATTCAAAATATTCCTCAAGTGAAAGTAGAAAAGTATTCTCATCCAAATATAGTTAAAGTAGCGACAGTAAAAGTAGTCATTGTGCAGATTGGTCCATTTCAGAATAATATGATATGTTTTATAATGATTGATCATGAAAGTGTTCTCAAAGCTGGTAAAGGTGCAGCTAGTTTGAATGACTTTGTGTACTGCAGGGTAGCTGGTGGATTTACTCCAGGTGGAACTAAATATTTAACACTTGATTATATTTCACATCATTCATCCAGGTCTGTAAAGTAGCTAAAGGTATTAAATACATGTAGTGGAGTAGAAGTACACCATGTACCTCTGAACTGTAGAGGAGTAGAAGTACACCATGTATCTCTGAACTGTAGAGGAGTAGAAGTACACCATGTACCTCTGAACTGTAGGGGAGTAGAAGTACACCATGTACCTCTGAACTGTAGTGGAGTAGAAGTACACCATGTACCTCTGACTTGTGTTTACTGCCAACCTAAAAGTACCTCAAAAATAGTAATCAATAATGTATTGAAAAGTTATTTGGCTGATTGTTTTATATTGGCTCAGACAGGTTATATGGGACATACAGATGGGTCACTCATTTTGAAATATTAAACTTAGTTTTCTTTTCTTTAATTTGTCATCCTCGTGTAGAAGGCTATCACGAAACACACATTTGGTTGTTTATAGCATAAAGAACATCTGATTTAATGTGAGGTAGAAAAGCTGGAAAATGCACCTTGAAAATGCTTGAAAAGTGCTTGAATTTGACTTTGGAAAAGGTGTAAGAACCCTGCTAAGTATTATAATACAACAATAACATCTGCAAACAGAATTATTATTTTTTTACAATTTTACCCTGCTACACAAATTCCATATCACATACTAGCGTTATATAATTATCTCATGTAGCTGTATCACAAATCTGTCACTTATAATGATGTTAAATCATTTATTGTGGATCTAAATTTGTGTTTGTGTTTGTGCATACGCAGAAATGGTACTCCGGTGATGAGCTAGATGTCCGGGCCATCATGGACACCTGGACGCTGCAGGAGGGCTTCCCATTGGTCACTGTGGAGGTCAGAGGTCGGGAGGTCAGGCTCAGTCAGGAACGTTACCTGAAGACAGACGACTACTCTCTCACTGAAGGGTAACAAGTCAAAATAATCCACATTATTCAAGATTATGGCAGATATCAAAAGTGTTGAATATACATAATTTCAAAAGTCCCTTTTCCTGCATTTAAAATACATTTTAAAGCCACAGTCTCATACTCTACACTACCATTAGATTGTGACAAAGGAAAAACAATGAAATACAGCACGCTGCAAACCGTTATAGCTCGTAAAAATCCAATAATGAATTGATAGGTGTCATTCCTGATGATTATGTAATAGTGTAGCAGTAATTGAAGCATGCAACAGTGAATATTTTGACTAGCTTAACATTAAGTTACAGTAATTGTTACAAGCTATTATTTTTTTGGGTGTATCTTCCCAAGTACAGTAGTTTGATATTTAATTGTTAATTTGATTCATATCGTGGGTTGGTGTCAGATTTCTTTGGCAGATCCCTCTGACCTACATGACCAGCACCTCCAGCACCGTGCACCGCTTCCTGCTCAAGACAAAGACCGGTGAGTGCATTGCCCAGTGTGAAGAGGCTGATTTTCAGATTAACATTCATAACATCCATTCATAAAACAATATTACATCTACAAGTCCTCATTGCTCATCTCTACTCTTCCTCCATGCAGATGTCCTGTACCTGCCGGAGGAGGCGGACTGGGTGAAGTTCAACGTGGACATGAGCGGCTACTACATGGTGCACTACGCAGGCGAGGGGTGGAACTCCATCATCAAACTGCTGCACTACAACCACACGGCCCTGAGCAGCAACGACCGCGCCAGCCTCATCCACAACGTCTTCCAGCTGGTCAGGTCTGTTAAAGGTCACCTATTATGCAAAATCCCCTTTTTCATTGTCTTTTTTAATTTTTTATAGAGATTCTGAAAGTTTCAGAAAAAAAGATTCTCTTTTTGTCCTGATCCATTTATATAAAAACCTGTCTGAAAATTAGCTGATCAGATTTTGGCCACTTTGTGATGTCATCATTTGGCTTGTGTAACTATTAGCCATTAGCCATTAGCCATTAGCCATTAGCCAATAACCAACCAAGGTAACCCTCCCCACCACCTTATCACCTGAATCTCCTCCTTGAGCACCATTGTGTTCTTTTTAACCAAATATCTCTCAGAGGGGCGTGGGGAGTGGCTCCTGATTTTCATCTAAAGGCACGGACACATCAGGCCGATTATCGGCGTCGGTGGGCGACAGGCCGACGATGAGCGTAGACACGCCCTACTCAGATTGGTGTGTCCCGCACCGTCGGGTCTTTTCAGCCGGGCCGACTTCTTTTCGGCCGAAAACAGTTTTCGACAGTCAGCCAAAGGCAGTTGGCCAAATAAATTGCTCTGATTGGCTGTTCAGCTAGCGAATCAGTGCATGAGAAGTGAAACGGAAGTGAGGGACCCAAACAAACTATTAAGAAGGCAAATCTGAGATTTAATTTAACTCCAGCTCTCGACACAGGTTCGGGAAAGCCCCATGAGCTTCTCGTTGTAGAGTGGAAATGGAACGCACACGCTATTGGTTGTTTGTTTATATCACGCAGTCTGTTCTTCTTCTCTCTGTGTATCACGCAGTCTGTCTTCCGGTTGTTGCCTCTTTTGAATGACGAATACACACTACCGACGCCTGCTGGTAAGGAGAGTTATTGCCACTCACGCATGCGCAGTTCGTACGTGCTTCTTGGCCGTCGGCTGAAGTCTTTGCGGTGTGTTCCAGTGCGACACATGGCCAAAACGCAGAGAGGCGACGCAACAGTCGGGGTCCGTCTGTGTCAGTTCTTTGTTGTCAGATTGGTGTGTCCGAGCCTTAAAGAAACAGACAGAGAATCAGCACTTTTGAAATGGGGCTGAAACAGAGGGGATTATGGGATGCTACATCTGTTTGGTATTTCAAAACCAACGCTTCAGAGACAAGTTTTGTATTGAGAACTATAACATATTGATGAAAAGAGTATAATAGGGGACCTTTAAGAGATCGGATAAATATTTGAACATGCTGTTTATCCTGCATCACACATTCCTAGCTCACAATTCCCATACAAATATTTGTTTGTGCTAACAGAGGTTGTCTTTATTGCTGATGATGGCTTGTAAACTGTAACCTGAAATGTAATGTTTGCTAATATGGACTAAACTGCCGCATGGTGTTGATTTGAAGCCTTCCATGTGTGCTACAGCACGGAGAAGGTGAAGCTGGACACGGCTCTGGAGCTGTCTCTGTACCTGTCCAAAGAGACCGAGATCATGGCTGTGACTCAGGGCTTTGGAGAGCTTGTGCCTCTGTACAAACTGATGGAGAAGAGAGACATGGCTGCTCTGGAGAATCAGATGAAGGTAAGTGAAGGCAGCATTCGAGGCACAAAACAGACGATATAACATTACAAAGAGAAGAGAGTCTTAAAGTTAAAACTACTCTTAATGGAGGTTCAGGATGTCACACTGCTTGAAATGTTTTTGTGACATTCAAACTTGTCTATGAATGTAATAATCCCACATTTCAATGTTAACACCCACTTAGTAATACGAGTGAAAGGCTAAAGATTCTAGCCATGTTGGCATTAGTCGGCCCTTATTGACTTTATCAAGTGTGTGAGAGAAAACCACTCTGATTGGTTGAACAATAGACAATAGATAAACGGATGTCAGGGAAGCAACCAAACAACTACAATACAGAGGACACACACATAAGGATTCATTTCTCATCAATTTAAATCATCTGATTATTCTCTGATATTTTCACAACCCATTGCCATCTGAAATGAAGCTAAGTGGTGAAAGAAAGTGAAAATGGATGGCAAACACTGCTCTGCTTGTCATCATGAATGTATTATAACCAGGGGTGCACATAACTGGTACGCAGGTACACATGCACGGCAACAATCTGAAATGCGTACCGTCACTTGTGTCAAAAAGCGCATTTGCGTACCGACGTACTTGTGAAGCTTTTCCAGAAGGCGGTTAGATCACCGGACAACAGAGTCGGTCTCCGTGTGCACAGACAGGGCTGCTGTTAATGTCGGTCTGTACAACGGAATTGTGCCAAAACTACGCCAACCGGCTGCGGAGGGAGACTCCCCCCCCCCCCACCCCTTCACTGGAGAACTGCGCTAAAACAGCTGATCACAACTTCAAGCTCTGTGGTCACAAAGTACTAGCAACCCCCCCCGTTGACGTTCGCGATACAGAGGGCTTCATCAAATAACTTTGAGTGGAGCCAGAAGTTGGAGTACCAAACACTGACTCCAGGTACTCATCTGAGTACCTCACTGAGAAAGTTATGTGCACCCCTGATTATAACAATGGCTTGTATATCCAGTCATTCCCCTTTTTGAATGACAACTACTCACCATGGGTGGCGCGTGAGGCTCAGGTTTGGGAAGGCTAAATAACTTTTTTTACCTGATGCTGCCCGCCTCCGGCGTCTATCAACCGAGATCAACTCTCAGTGAAAGCACCGCCTGCTGACCAATCAGAGCTCAGTGTGCGGAGTTTAAATCTATCAAGTCATATTACATGATAAAGGAAATACAGAACAACTGCCGTATGCAGGGAAGACGCCGAGGTGTTGCATTTATCATTCATATCACATCATCGATCATATAATATCATATATTTCCTTATCTGAGTCAGCTTCTCGAGCCGTATCAGGCCGTGCAACACTTACAGTGTCACATAGCCTACTCCCTACTGTATGCAGAAGTATTATTTTAAGCAACACATTAAGTTAACGAAACACTCAACTCAAATGTAATTATGTTAATTATTTAATTATTAAGTCAGATCACTCCTGTCTTAGATGAGGCAGTGATATCATAAACCTGTTAATAGGGCTACACATTCAAACCTTTATATATACAGTCTATGATTCAAACACTCTGTAGTTTTTTATTTTTTTTAACCAGCTGTTCTGTATTCACCTTGCATGTGCAACTATGTTGCTTTCATCCTGGATAAAGTATTTAAGTCATGGATGTTTAAAGTTTAACTTCTTCATATTTGTCTAATATTATAGTTTCATTTTCATGAATGAAGTATGACGCTGCGCTGTCAGTACGCTTGTCCATGTTTGTGATTGGTCAAATGTTGCTAGCCCCGCCCCTTGAACGCGCTCTCAGCTGGAGAGAGAAACCCTGGGTTGATTTACTGAGTTGATAACCAGCGTCGTAGGACCGCATAGCGAAATCTCGTTTAGGATTAGTTAAGATAACTCAAACATATCCAGAGTATGTTGAACTGGCTTCGTAGTACAGTTTACAGGTGGCTGCATAGCAGCGCTAATGTCAAAGACACAAACATTATACATAATATTTTAATTTTACCAGGATGCAGTGAAAAAGATATTTGGGAAGGTTTAGCCTTCCTTAGCCTACAGTACCCGCCGCCCCTGCTACTCACTACAACCACCTTCTGGTATACACTGATATGTGCTAGTTAACTATTCGCTGTAGTGTATTCAGATGCCATTGTTCCGCCCAGACACAGATGCCATAATGGTGACTTAAGACAACAGTACGACTCTACATAGCTGCAGGAGGTCAAACATTCCACAAGGAACATATTAACTGCTAGCGCTTCTGTGTAGCAGGAGAAGTTTACACACTGAGTCATGGTTCTTGCATAAGCTCTATAAAAGCCTGTACTGTGCCCATTAATGACATGTTGTACAGTTAAGTGCTGCTTGTGACTGCTAGAAGTTCCTCTCAGGAATTGAACCAGAATACAACACAAGTTTGGGAATCATACAGTTGAAAAAAATAGTTATTGTTTTGTATTATCATAGTTTACTTTCTAATAAAAAAAATACCCAATGATGTTAGGGTTATAACTAACAATTATTTTCAACATTTCTTTGACTGATTGACATCTTCCTATTGCTTGTTTTGTCCAAACCAGTCAACCAAACAAAATGTAATTTACAAAGCTGGGGTTATATCTTTGATTCATAGTTCTTATTAAAACTGACTGTTTTAAACTGCGTGTGTCTCTCAGGACTACATAGTGGATTTGTTCCGGGGGCTGATTGGCCGGCAGGAGTGGACTGACTCTGGATCAGTGTCTCAGCGAGTGCTGAGGAGCTACCTGCTGCTTTTTGGCTGCTTCAGGAACTACGCTCCCTGCGTGTCAAAAGCCACCGAGCTCTTTACCAAGTGGAAGGAGTCTGACGGCACCATGAGGTCAGATATTTGTTAAGGATTCTTATTAAAAAATGCTGCCAGAGCTGAGGCTTTAATATTAAATATTTCCCATTTAAAGTTTGTCATATAATTGTTATTGATCCTTGTCTGTTTTTAGCCTCCCTGTCGACATCACCATGGCGGTGTTTCTGATTGGAGCTCGAACACCAGAGGGGTGGGACTTCCTGTTGGAGAAGTACCGCAGTTCCCTGCAAATGTCTGTAAAGAGCCGCATGAAATCTGCAATGTCCACCAGTCCTCTGCAGGAGAAGCTCAAGTGGTGGGTACATAATATATAAACATCACACTCCTGCCAGCATTAGGTTTCTCTTTCTTCTTACCCTTATTTGTTTTTCCTCAGGATGATGGAGCACAGCCTCTCCAATGTGGTGATGAAGACTCAGGACCTCCCGGACGTGATGGTCTCCGTCAGCAGGAACCCCCGCGGCTACAACATGGCCTGGGACTTCCTCCGAGTAAACTGGCACATCCTGATTAAGAAGTCAGTCAGCCCCTCATGCATTTTCACTCATCATTTACTTTTATGTCTACGTTTTGCAAATTTGTGTGGAATCCAAGTTTGTTCAATATTGTGCTTGACAGGTGAGAATTTAAGTAGAACTGTAGCTCAAAACCATAGAGCCCGAGCATACTTGTTTGTTCAATGAAATGTGTGTATTCTGAACGCTGAACTTTGTCTCTGTTTGCTCCAATATTATAGATTTGAATTGGGATCCAGCACCGTTTCATTCATGGTGACTGGGGTGACTAGCCAGTATTCTACCAGGGAGATGTTAGAGGAGGTAAGGAAGGCTGTGTCCATACTTTTGGTCGAATTGTGTGTCTATATAAAGTGTGGATTGTTGCCTCAAAAACCTTTTTTATTTTAAATGCATTTTATTATTTATTCATGTAAAAAAAAAAGCATACATTCATCTCCCAGATAGGCCTATGTGCTGCTCTGGGTCTTAAAATCTTGTATTGAGATAAATGTGGATTTTTTAAAGTCAAGCCAAATATATATTCTAAGTCCACTTGCTCTGCTCTCAGGTGAGAAGCTTCTTTGGCTCTCTGGATGAGGACTCAGGCTCAGAGATGAGATGTATCCGGCAGGCCTACGAGACCATCGAGGATAACATCCGGTGGACGGACAGAAACCTTCCTCTGCTGCAGGCCTGGCTGGACAAACGCAGACCCAAACCTCTGCATGAGGATCTGTAGCTTCAGAGGAAAGAAAACAAGTCTGGAGTGGAGAATCACTTTGCTAAAGGCAGAAACTAACTAAGCATTTCTTCAGTCAGACCCGAATCCCAAAGAGGATGCCTTTTGTATTTGAACACAAATCCAAGCAGCTTGTAATTACACTTTAATATTAACACCACTGATTGCTGACTAGCACTCCGTAAACATAAAGATACCAAAAAAAAGGTGATCTCAATACATATAATTAATTTCCCTGATCTGATGAGGTGTCAGCACTTAGGACTTACTTTCTGCCACCTCTCCAAACTGAAGCCTAGAGCTTTGTCACTAAGTGTTGTTCAGTGTGTTTCTCAGGTTGAAAGACATGTGTGTGATTGTAGATGTTAAGCCCCATATGGTTTGAGGGGGTAACAGGCCTTTTGAAAAACTGAAATGAATGAGCTCTGCAACAGTCATGACACCTAAACGTGTGTGTGTGTGTGTGTGTGTGTGTGTGTGTGTGTGTGTGTGTGTGTGTGTGTGTGTGTGTGTGGTGTGTGTGTGTGTGTGTGTGTGTGTGTGTGTGTGTGTGTGTGTGTGTGTGTGTGTGTGTGTGTGTGTGTGTGTGTGTGTGTGTGTGTGTGTGTGTGTGTGTGTGTGTGTGTGTGTGTGTGTGTGTGTGTGTGTGTGTGTGTGTTGTTTCCTTTGTAAGGTCTCTTTTGAAGTTTCTCATTCATGCTGCGTTATCTCTGCAGAAACATCATACATAGTGTACAGTGTTGTACAAATAGTTAATGTTGCACAAAATAAATAAATTGCTAATTAGATATTTATTTTTCTCTCAAATATGTTGGTACCACACCACTTCTTACATTACACGAAAAAGAGGAAGATGCCTAAAAGAGGCGGAAAGCTTCCAACTGCTTCTTCTGAATGATTTTATAAAACGTACTTCTCCTAATTCTATTGTTAGATGCGTATTTCAAGATCAACACTGCTGTAAGATCAGATCTGATACAGTCGTGCGCTGTTTGCTTGAGTTTTCACTGTCAAACGTGAATTCTGACACCACTGTTCCTCCTTGGTAGCATTTTCAACAATATTGAAACATGACAAAATAAATTGCACTATAAGGAATGTGTTGTTACAGAAAGTTTGTGGTTTGTTCACAACATTGAATGTTATTTTGTAAGGACAACATGTGTTTGTTAAATTAAATATTGGAAAAATAAAGATAATTTGACCTAATTCAATTTGTATTCCAGTTATTGTATTATTTGCATCTTTATAGTACTGGTAATCCTTGCTTGTTATGCTCACAGAGATGTATTGATGCACCTTTGTACTTTTCACTCCTCTGATGAGCGAGTCAAATAGTTTTTCAGCAGTAAAGATGACATTTCCTGGTTTGTGGGGTCATTTAACAATCATTGGGTTCACCTGTCTTTCTATTCACTCACACAGACAAACACACTGGCACAGCATAAACTCTAACATGACAGCGGGTTTAACAAAGTAGTGAGTATTTGTGAATGAAAGCACCCATTTGTATGTGCGAACATCACTTTACTTACAAAATGTACCTGCTCTGCAGATATGCTAAGTCAAAAAATAACCTCTGATTTCATAAGGGGTTATCTAGACTGGGGTTTGACGACTGGAAATCTTTAACGGAACGTTTGTTTAACAGATGGGTTGAGTTTCATCACAGTACAAGTATGCATATTGAGGCCTAAAACTGATTTCTGACAATCCGTTTGTGTCACTGTCTCTTTTGCAAGTGTCTCAACTATGTAAAGGTGAGGGTAACCATTTTACTCAGGTCCAAAACCAATGAGTTAATGGAGACAATACACATTCCAGGAATTCATGTTTTCACCCTTATCATTTTAACCTGGTGACATGTGGCTCAATCTCTGCCTACCGTTTCTATACAATTTTACAAAGAAGGACAAAGTGCTGTGGCAGCTGTCTGAGATAAAATACATCACTTGTCACTCAATGAATCTCTAGAAAAGTTGACCGCTCTTCCTCTGCTGCTCTTGATTCTGTGGCTTACCTCTCCCATGAGGCCTTGTGGAGAAAGGTAGCTGTTTCTTTAAATCTTCTAGTGTTGCCATAAATTCTTCTTTAGGACCTTTAGCACGAACTAATAAAACACGTATACATTCATAAATGTGAGCATTCATAAATGTGAGCATTTATTCATGCACATACCACTTCTGTATTACATAAACACTGATATAACAAAGACTGCTTCAATTTCTGAGGGTGTATCAGGGGCTGACAGACAAGCTGGGCTTTGCACTTAGTCCAGCACATGTTCACACACACACACACACACACACACACACACACACACACACACACACACACACACACACACACACACACACACACACACACACACACCACACACACACACACACACACACACACTGCCCCCTCATCAGCACACCCACAATCGAAACTGCTCTCTGCTCCGGTGAGTTTTCCCCACCCAGTCGTACACCTGAGGAGAGCCTTCTCTGGACAGGAGGTAAGAGGTCGACATTTTTCTTTCTGCTTCCTGGTTTTGAAATGTCTTGTAAATTACATCAATTCCTGAAAACCGAACACATTTTGTGAAAGGACCTCAAATTAAACACATAGTAGCCGTTTATTTGTTTAGTCCGTATTAACAGACTGGGCCCAGCTGTTCCAATATGCCTACTGATCATGTGTTGTGAATTTTGACCTCTCCTACCGCTCATGTGATTTGTGTGGCCAGTAATCTATTCAGTTTATAAACATGGTAATGTTAGACCATCTTTGAAATGTAAATAGAGTTGTTGTTCTCCTATGAGGATAATTCAACATCCCTTTAGGGACATAATCCACAAAAGAGTTCAGGTGAAATGAAGAAAAAGTTCAGTTAACTCTGATCAAAATGTGTCTCCTTTTTTGTACAACTACGGTTGGCAGATGATACTATAACTTTGAGATATATCCACTTCAGAGGACATGAAATGAACGGACCACGTACCAGCAGTTACAATTTGTTAACAGTGACCTGGTTATGGTGTAGGTTACTTGTTATTCAAGCAGTGTTTCCAGTTATCTATTGACCTTGTATCTGTACGAGGGTGAGGGCCAGTGATTGCCAAACTGATCAGTATCATTTTTTGTTTGTGGCCTTTGAAAACAATCTATTTTCAAGAACAGCCCTTTTTTCAGATTGTGACAATGCATTTTCCATGTGATCTAATGAGTTTTGAAATGGTCCTGGTAGCTTAAGAGCTCAACCCTGACAAAAAAATAAATAAAAGCATGCATACTGCGGTGTTGTTCTTGAACATCCTGAAAAAGTGAATGAAATTTAGACCAAATGCTTTACTGTACTTTGATATCGATGCTTCTGGCCTCAATATTCCTGTTGATCACCCGACAGGTTCCCAAGCACAGTGGAACAAATGTAATCATACAATCTTTGCGAAATCATGCCAATCAGTGCAGGGAGACTGAATGACCGTAAACTGTATGAGGTTACTGCAGGACAAACTGTTTTCCAATGCTTCCAATGTACTTTTGTGGATCTATTATCTCTCTGCCTAGTAGAGACAGGCAATACAATATACTTTGATCCTGAGGTCTTGAAAACATTCATGGGTTTTAGGTTCAAAGTTTATTTTCTGTTGATCCAGGAAGAGGAATACTAGGCAAGCAATGTAATTGTGTAAAATGTTCTCTAATTAAGCAAGTAATGAATGGCAAAGTCAGTGTGCGATGTTTTTTTCCTGTGTCCCCTTCAGGTTTGTTCTGTTTCTGACTCCACTTCCACTTTGGACCATTGGTAGTTTATCCACAGAGCACCGAGGATGAATATTCCCATTCTAGAGTAAGGCACCGATCTCTTCATATATTTGTTGATTAATTCAGCCATTTTCTTCTCTGTTTGCTTCCTTACTTTGATTGATAACTATTCAAAGTTAAAATATTTCAAATGGTTTTTTTCTCTTCATTCAACCTCAAAAAAGAGAAATACCGCAGTGCTAACTCTTCTAATTACCACAAACTGATGTTTTATGTTGGTCTATGTGTTTCAGATTTAACATAATTTTTTGTTGAAAGAAAAAAGTCTTATATGTTTATAAATCCTCGCCGGCCATCCTATTAGGAACACCTTGCTAGTGCCATTTTAGACAGCGCTCAGAACTGCCTTCATTATTTGTCAGTTTTTTGTGCCATATTGATGATAGCATCACGCAGTTGCTGCAATCTTTAATACCCCGTTACTCCCAAACTGAAGGTGCTTTCTTGGATTGAAATCCGGCTGTGTAGACCAATGGGTAGAAAATGATAAAAGCGTTATGACATGGCGTGTTATACTGATGGAAGTAGCCTTTGAGGGTGAGTACCTGTGATCATAAAGAGAGTTAACACGATTAGCAACCATACTCAATGGGGCCTTAAGTGTGACAAGAGACTTTCCAGCAGACTTTACACCACTACCAGCAGCCTGAACCAGTAATACAATCCAGGATGTATCCAAAGCATTCATGTTGTTTATTTCAAATCTAACACTTCCATCTGAATGCAGAGCAGATATTGAGATGCATCAGACAATCCTCAATTGTCCACTTTTGGAGATCCTGTGCCAATTGTAGACTCAGTTTCCTTTCCTTTGCTGAGGGAAGTGACACTTAGTGTGGTGTTCTGCTGCGTTAGACAATCTACATTAATGTGTTGCACACTCAGAAATGCGATTATGGACACCTTGGTTAACGCAAAGGAATTCTTTCTTTTGTTTAAAAGCAATTAACCCTAGAGATTATAGTTTTTGAATTACTCAAAGCAACAACCATGCCACCTTCAAAATCAGGTAAATCACCTATCTTCACCATTCTGTTGCTTGGTTTTATGTTCAGGTCATGTGTAGGTGAGTTTAATTGCTGTAACGTGATAGGCTGATCAGATGTGTGCTTTAACGAGCAGCTGAACAGGTGTTCCTAATGAAGTAGCTGTGAGTATAATTTTGGTTTTTGTTGCTCTTTCCTTTTCATGTCTACCTTTATTGGCTTTTCTCTCCATCTTCCTCTGTCTTGCAACCATCTCCATCTTTCTCATCCCCCTCTCCCCTTTCTCCTCCTCTTCAAGGATCTTCCTGGGCATCCTGGGCTTCGGCCTCTCCATCATGTTCTGCACGACCTTCTGCAGGGTGTGCAGTCGCTTCAGGGAGGAGCAGATCGATCGGGAAGCGGCGAGACGGAGTAACCAGGAGCTGCGCCCTCCGATATATTTCATCCCTTTCCATGGGAGCCTGTCACAGCACGACAGCGAAGACGTCCCAGGCATGCCCCGATACAGCCAGGAGCTTTACCTGCCCCCCCAATACAACAACGCTGCCTTCTGTGGGGCCCCACCTTCCTATAATGAGGTGATTTTAAACAAGCAAAGTGTTTGTCTGTGGCATTTCCTGTCCCTGAAACCCCAGATTTACTGTAAAATCTGGATTTGAACTTTTTGTTTCTTTTTGTGTATTTCAGCTGGAATTGAAGCCGGATGATCTTCCCCCTGCTTACACAGATTATAGTGTTCCTGTGTATCCCCTCCCATCTCCACATCACATGGTTCAACCACAAACACCACAATAAGACGGGACCACCCTCATGTGCCTGTGTTTATCGCTCTGGAGTCGATAATGTTTAAAAGATTATTGATGTGACCTTTTTTATTATTGTTATAATTAATGTAATGATGGTAGAGAGGGGATAACATCTGTATACTGTAAATGGCACCAGGTTTCAGACAACAATGCCATGAGTATGCTGCAATCTCTCAAGGCCAATTCCATTTTTAACCCAATATTTTATTCTATGCCCCCACTTGTTATTATCTCCACCATGGAAATTATGCTTTTGATCCTGTCTGTTTGTCTTATGTTGCATTAGCAGGGTCTCAATAGCCACTTTACAGGTATGTAAGTAATACGTGTGCGTTCAGATGTGAATGTGAAACCAATTATGCCACTATGTGGCCATTTATAAAGCACTTTGTTTTTGTTCATGTCTCCTTTACCCTATGTATTAGTGCATGCAGAGAATTTGGATCAAACATTTTCTCCATATATTTGGATAAGCTATTTGATTCCTGATTGCCTGAGTCTCGTAGTTGTGTCCTCCAAAAAGTGGTATAACTCTTAAAAGGTATTGTGCAAACTGATATTCCTTCTGTGCAATCCTAAAAAATGTAATCACATTCTGCTGATA